GGTGCTCCCCTCTGTGCGGTCAGTGGGTAGGAGTCCGGGAGGCGGCGTCGCTAGTGCCATGGCCTGAAAACGCTTGCAGCCTGAACACGCTCTGAGAACTTGTTTTACGAGTGCCCTTAAACGCGGTACCCAGTATAGCTCTCGCACTTTGGTCATGGTAAGGGCCACTCCTCCGTGCAGTGTGTCGACATGTGATCGGTGAACTAACTTGCGAGTGAAGGGCGAGGAGTCTGGCAGAAAGATGGGGTAATGGCCTTGAATTCTTCCCCTACACTCTAATATTCCCTCTTGGTTCCCTTTGCATATTCAACTGTAAACGGTCTTCTTCAAATTTCTGGCTCGACTTTGCTTGTTGTTGAGATCGCTTGATCCAGAACGTTGTCTGTTTCTGTATTTCTTCAGTGGTAAGGGGACCAAGGATTCTCTGTTTACGGACGGTTCTTATGTTGTGGAGGAATCTCCAGATCCAAGCACCCACTCGCAACACACGCCACAGCTCGTACTTCTCCAGCAGCGCATCGAAGGCGTCGTTGTTCTCTGTTTTCTCTACTGCTAGAGCAAACAACTCGCGAGTTTGTTTCGCTTCTTCCGCTTTTGATTCTTGAGTAGATGTCGTTACAAGGTCTGGCGGCCAGTCCTGTGGTTTTGCTAACCAGCTTGGTCCCTGCCACCAAAGAGCTGTCAATCTACTAACATCTCCTCCCCGACTCCCCACGTCCGCAGGATTCTCTTCTGTTGGTACATGCCTCCAGTTTATTTCTTTTCTTGGATCTTCCTCACTCGATTTCCCACGAACTGTTTGTATTCGCCATTACCACGGATCCAATGCAGTGCGACTGTGCTATCCAGCCAACCATAGACACTTCTTACGGGAAAACCCTTCAGGACTTCTTTCACATTTTGTACTAGGTTCGCAGCCATATGTCCAGCCACTAGTTCTAATCGGGGAATCGTGAGTCCTTTCTTCGCGAGCCGCGACTTTGCCGTCACGAGGCCTCGATTCGTGCCTGATGGTTGCTCCACCACTGCATAAACCGCGGCTGCAACTCCTTTCCCGCTTGCGTCCCCGAATGTGTGTAAGTCGATTGATAATATCTTCCCTAAATGCTTGACGACATTTCTTGGCGCGTTCACGTGCTCTGGAAGTCCTTGCTCCCATTTCTTCCATTTGGCTTGTAAGTCACTTGGTAAGGGCCTATCCCACGCGATCTTCGTGTCGCAGGCATCTCTGTAGAGCATTTTTCCAGAGAGGGTCACGGGTGAAACCAGACCGAGTGGATCGTAGATTTTTGCGACTTTTCCAAGGATACCTCTTTTTGTCGGCTCAGCGGTTGAAATCGGGAAGCTGATTTGAATTTCGTCCTTTTCTTTGTCCCAGGGGACTCCTAGCAGTTTTGATTCGCCCTTCCCGGTTCCCAGTTGTTGTTTGGCGTAACTCTGGCTTTCTTCATCTACAGTCGCAGTTTCAACTTCTAGTTCCCGATCGTTGGAATGCCACTTGTGCAGCTTGAAAGTCGCCTCACCAAAGATGGTCGTGGCTGTCATCTTGATTTCTAACGCTTGTTCTGTTGTCTCCCCACCACTGATTAAATCATCCACGTACATACTGCGCTCTATCTCCTCTACTAATTCCGGGTTCACCATTTTGTATCGCTGTAGATGTTCTTTGATAACTGCGGCCAAGAGGAATGGAGACGGTGCCAAACCAAAAAGTACTCGAGTGAATCGCAAGGTATCTACTTGTTTGCTTGCCAGATCCTTTATCCAATGAAAGCGTAAGGCATCTCGGTCTTCTCTTCGGACGCGAATTTGCAAAAATGCTTGTTTTAAGTCGCCAGCTATTGCCACGGGATAGAACCTATTTCGTACCAGCACGTTCCAAAGCTGGTTCTGTAGTGGAGGGCCGATTTCGAGGCACTCGTTGAGTGAGGGGACACTTGCATTAGCTCTTGCAGAAGCATCATAAACAATGCGTATCTTTGTAGATTCTGCATTCTCGCGCACGACCGCTTTATGAGGAATGTAGAACTCTTTTCCGTCTTTGACCACCTCGTCAGCGTGTTCTACGATCCCTTGACTCAGTTGAGTCTGGATAATGTCGTTGTACCTCCCCAGCTCGCCTTGTATCTCTAACTTACGCACGAGATTTTTGAGACGTTTTAAACTTCCAGTGTGATTGTTCGGTAGGGGGGGGTGATTTCCTTTCCAGGGCAAGTTCGTCTCGTACCAGCCTTCTGAACTCCTAGTTAGTTGCTCTTTGAATTCTTCGTAAACGGTTTCCTGGTCTCCACTTGGATTGTCCTTCAACCCCAAGACGTCTAACTTGCACAATTCTTCGTAATCAATTGCGGAGGTCTGCGTTAACAACATGTTGCTGAGATCCAACTCTGTTCCAGGTGACAAGATCGTCCAGCCGAACTTCGTGTATTCTGCTACTGGTTCTCCCGAGCGCCCAACTCTTGGTCTTGCCCCTGTTTTGATCTTAGCGTACTCGTTTGTTCCAAGGATCAGATGAACAGGCAACATCGCTTTCTCGTCGTTATCATTTGTGGTTACGCCCTTCAAGTGAGAAAACTGAGCTACGATTTCTGCGCATTTTGGGTTTTCCAATGTCAACAACTCATTGCGGTCGACTTTGTTTACTTCGGCTTCTAAGGTGAATTTACCATCAACGCTTCGAATTTGTAGGCCATAGATGTCTATCGCTTTGTTTGAAGTACCAAACATCATTTCAATGCGCTTGAATTGTTGACGGATAGGGCGCAAATGTAAACAGTTCAGAAGCGTTGATGAAGCGTAGGAACTTCCGGCTCCTGTATCCAACAATGCTCGGCATTTAACACCGTTCACGTCAACTGTTACCATAGGATACACCACTCCTTTCCTTTCTGCGCTCGTTGTGGTCATCAGCTGGTCTCGCGATGTATGTTTGTCGCAGATCGATGTATGATGTCTTCGACTGCAGATCTGGCAGCCAGAACGGCATTTGCACTCAGAAGCACGGTGTCGACTTCCGGTGCAGTTAAAACAAAGCTGTTTCAGTCCTAATTGTTTCCTGCGGTCTCCAACTGTCACAAACTTGTCGCAATTCACAGCTCTGTGGTCAGTTGCGTCACAGTAGACGCACCCTCTTTGTGTTGGCGTAGTTTCGTTTGCGTGAAATGTTTTCTCGCGATCGCGGAATTTAGCACCTTGCTTCCCCGCATTATCCGCGCCGTTCCCAATGGGGTTGATTTCCTTCCAACTTTTCAAAGCTTTTATCAACTGTGGGAAGTCCCAGTCCTGCCAGTCCATTTGTCCTCTCACTAGATCTGCTTTTACACCCTTTAGTTTGTCGAGCACACTCCTTGCATTTCCAGTGACGTCTTTCAATTTGCCCAGTGTCTCCAAAGATTGCACATTGTACACGAGCTTCTTGTAAAATTCGTGGATAGGCGCAGGTTGTGTTCCTGTAATGACAGGCAAATTCGCGATGTTCTGGACGTACGCATTCACGATCTCGCTCGTTTTCCCATATTCGCCGATGAGGATATTCTTTGCCCTTTCGTAGCCCTCTGTTGTGAAAGGCAGTCCGTCTATCTCCGCTCGAACCTTTGGATCTACCAGCTCTTTTAGGTATGCAAACTTGGTCACAGATGCAAGGTTTGCTTTATCAATTTCAGCTTGAAATTTGTTCCAGAACGGCAGCCATGCTTCATACGTCCCATTAAACTTTGTGATCTGTAGTTTCGGTAGCTTTGTTGTCCTTTGTTCAATCTGATTGGCCTTCTCAACAGGTTGCTGTTTTGCCTTGGTCTCTTCCAGTTGGCGTTCGAATTCTAGCTTCATCTCCATTTGCTCTCTTTCGAATTTAAGCTCCTCTTCACGAGCACGGGCTTTCCTTTCTTCTTCGTCCTTGTGCTTTCGATGTTCGATCTCTCCATTCGTCTCCACGAGCCATTTTTCTAGTCGCGAAACTTCTTCGTCAGCTTCGGCGATCGGTTCTTCAATGCTGCTGCTCCAACTTCCAACGTCTTCTGCACTTTTCCCGGCCTTGAACATGGTCTGTTCAACCTTTAGTTTAAGCGCGTCTACTTCTTTTACTAATGCTTGTAGGTTGTCGCGATGTCGCGCGACCGCTCCTAGGTTTCCCTTTTCCACAATGCCACGTGTTTTTCCATTAGTGTACAGCAACATCTGCAATTTAGCCTCTGCTTCTTTGGTTAGTTCCTCCATGCTTCGCGCGTCCCGTCGGAGGTGCCACTGTGTCGGAAATGAGACTAAAGAATCTGCTATGTTCCGAAACTTCACGTTTTATTTTATAAAATCAACTTAATCTCCCGCTCTCTCTCACCGTTTTCTGTCCTTCGCTCTGGTCTCTCTCATTTTAAATATATAATATGATCCTATTGTTCAATCATCTGTCACTTATCGCAAAAAATCAACCGGAAATCAATTAACGCTGAATAATCTCTCACACAGCGTCTAGTTTCAACAAGTAAGTCGTCTTTATTTGTATAACAAAAAGCAATATGACAAGTGAAACGCAATTCATTCCAGGATAAAATCGTTGGATACAATATAATTTTCAATAATACATCCGATAGGTTGAAATCTTACAGTACTAGCTTAGCGTACTTACTCCTTTTTACGTGACGCGTGATTGGTTAAAAAATTACCCGTGATGCGTGATTTGATAGAAAAATTCAGCTTGATGTGTGATTGGAACCCCCCCCCCCCCTTTGCCACCCTCTTCTTAAAGCAAATATCAGAGAGTGCATTCAAATGCGTCCTCAGAGGACAAGCGATGCTCGAAAGCCGAACGAGAATACTTCTATCTTCAAATAGTGCAATTTTCAAATGAGAATCGGAAGTAATCCGAAATTGATTTGGGTTTGCTTTCCTACTCTGTGATAAGTTGATTAAATAAAAATGAAACCAAAGAAGACTTGGACACTCGCATTTTCAGCGCTTTAGACAGTGTGCTTGTTTTTAATTTGCATTCTCACTGGCTCTTTGTGATGTTTTCCCTTTATCTGATTGGCTGGTGTGATGACTTTGGTTTTGATATTGCGACACCCGGTCGAAATGTGCTCAATCTTGCAGAATGTTCCAATTACAGTTTTCTCAATGAGTCAAACAGGGCACAAACGTTTTACAGAGGAAAAAGATCCCTGTGTGACAGAGCTTTACCCACTGGCTGGTACAGATTTGGAGGAGAGGCTGGACAACAAATGCCAGAGTCTTGTGTGGACTTAAGACACTGTGGTACAATTGCGCCGGGATGGCTCAACGGAACACACCCCTTGGTGGGGGATGGGGCTGTTGAAAGGAAGGTGTGTTTTCATGCACCAAGCGGGAACTGCTGTAAATTGTCTACAGATGTCCTTGTCCGAAATTGTGGAGGGTTTTATGTTTACAAGCTTAATAAAACACCCCAGTGTGACCTGCGTTACTGCGGCAACGGATCATACTCAGAGCAAGGTAATTTCGTGAATTTCATGATTGTAAGTTTGGCTAATACAAATTAGACCCCAGATTCTGCAAATTGTGAAGGCGAATGGTGCATGTGATACTTTTAACTTCTGGGTACAAGAAATCTTTTTATGTAATTCTTGGCTTAGTCCTCCTCCAGTGATTGTAAGTTGAGCAGTCGGCCACAGCTGAAAAGCTGGTAGCAGTCACTGTTTGCAATTTCACCCTCAGGAACGAGATGGGAGGCGTAGATGGAACCCCCACCCCAGATTTTGTTATGATCACAGCAAGAATTTGAGAACATCTTACCATAAATGAATAGTCTGTTATGAATCTGCAAGTTGAGAGGAAAATCTATTCTTATGCAAATTTAAGTGCGTTAGTCTGTAACTTTCGAACTTTCGTCGGCCACTTCATTCCTTTGATTTGGCTGAAATTTGGCATGAAGTCTTAATTTATGATCCTAATCACGAAATGGATATTAAAAAGTTCCAGTAATTTTTGCTTGCCAAAAAACGGGAAAGTGCACTTGGTCTGCCCATACTTGCCCGCCAATATGGCAGATCGAAGGTGATTTTTTTTAATTCAACTCGAGTCCTATCGTAAAGATTTCTCAAAATCTCGTGATATCCGTGAAACGATCTTCCCTTTCCCTTAACATTTATTTAAAAAAACATGGCAAATGTCTGGTTTAACAATATATGATCCCAACGTTCTAAGGTCACTTTTGGCCGCCTTCAACAGTGACTGGAAAAATTGACCCCAACTTAGTAACCGAATACCTCCAGTGTTATCTCGATCCAGGGGTTACCGTTTACTGTGAACAGCGTTTGTTCATAGATGAACAGATTTCGTAAACAAAAAAATGGGGGAAATGAAACGGTCAAGGGAAAAAATTATCAACCCGTACTGACCTGGCCATGTTTGGGACCTGGTCCTAAAAGCTCTTAAATCAATTTACGATAAGAAGAAAACGGTTAAAGTACATTTATCGTCCGGAAAGTTTCCTAATAGTATGGAAATATCTTTTGATTTAACATAAACGTGATGATATTCGAGCGAAATTGTTGTAATGGTATGATTTTAGGTAACTAATTGAATTTAGACAAGCCACGCGCAGTTATGCTTAAAGTTTAATTCGCTTACCGTTTTGAGAACAAAGGATTTTGTGAAAGAAACGTTCTTGTCAATTGTTATATACTATTGGTGGTAGCAGTTGGTCATTTATTTTAATTAAATCGCTGCAAACTTAAGATTAATGATACAGTACTTACATGTCGCACAACCGGTTTCGTGGAGGATATGCAAATTTATCATGTTTTCCAACAGGAGTCAGTGTATCATTTCCTCAAGTTCGCAGCATAAGAAAAACCCCAACCTTTGATAAGTCCATTGGAGTAATTTTCATTTATATCAAAAGTAAGCCTTAAATACCAACGTAATACACTCTGGCAGTGGCCACACACACGAAACGGAATGTGGTTTGAGATAGACATCAATTTGAACTCGTGAGAATGCACAAGCATCAAGTTTATTCTTGAGTCTAAAAGTGGAAATTTATTGCTTTACTTGAGGATCCTGTTTAGATAAGGTTAGTGGTTTTTTATCATTTTATTCTCCTTCATACTTACAAGTACAAAAATTGAAATTTGTTTTGATTTTGTAGCGAACACTGAGATGTTGGTTTCAATGAGGTAACTGGAAAAGTTCTCGTTTTTGACAGAAAGCCAAACTTATTATGTCAGTGATTAACGTCCCTTTTTACTTCAGTTTACTTTCCAGTTCTTTGCATGAAGAGAATGCTCCAGAATAATGTTAGTCAAGAGCGGTTTCTCGAGGTTTGCTGAGGATAGTTTCGGACATACCATGCAGTCGAGTGAGTGCATATCCCTTTCACGATGTACTCGAGACATAAAGCCTCATTTATGGGGCTTACACGTTGTTGATGCGTCTTTGAGAAGTGAAATTCAATTACTGTGGGCTAGAGTAGGTACCGAGACAGATTTCATGCTCATGCATTAATGAATTCGAAACTTCAACTTCCCTCCCCCGTGGAAATTGAACTCTTGAAAATTAGTTCTTCAAAATCCAACCTCAGGGGCCAGAATTATGTTCATATGCCCTACCCAAGTTCATTTTTTTTTTAAAAAGGAAAACTCGGGGAACTCACGGGAATTTTACTGTCGTCCGTGCCTGGGGAATGGGAAATTTGAACCTTACGTGGCTTGGGTTGGGAATTTGAACTGGAAATGTCAAGTCTTTCTAGAGGGTTAAAGAAGTAATGGTCTGCAAGGTCTAGAGTTTTTAGAACTCGGTAAATGAGTAGAAAATCACGGATTTGAATTTGTTTTGTCGATTTGACAAGCTTTTCAAAAGCGATTTGTCTAAAAGATATCGATTGTGAATATTTTTTCGGATATGCAAAATACTTTTGGATTGTCCCTTTTCGGCTTCCGTGCCTCTCATTGCCATCAAAAAATAAATGAAATATGGTTTCTTAGGACTTGGGTCTTAACTTCCGTTTTCGCTACAACCGACTGTTCAGTGATGAACAAGGATTCAATTCGAATTCATAGTTTCGTTCCTCATATAGATTCGGTGTAAAGCTTGTTTAAAGCCATCGAAAGAAGTTTTTAAAAAAATCCTTCACGAACTGCCTCTCAAAGCAAAATAGATCTTAGAGCAAACTCAATTAACGATGACGCGCGCATTCCAACGAGGTGACGTTTACCTCAAACAACACTCAATTCATGTCTGTGCCCTTAATGAGGGCGCTTTATGTGTGCATTTTGCGCTCACCGTTGGTTTAAAAAAATTTGCATGGAAGTATCCTGAAAAGTTGGGTTTCCTCTATACTGATAAGGCAATTGAAACATACGAAAAACGAAATTAAGACCTATTCAAAAACATGATGTAATTTACGTAATATCTAACGAAGGATATCTAAACTGTTGGCGTGACCAGGAGGATCAACTGCAAATGTAACCTAAAGGCTCAGATTTTGAGCAAATCACCATTCACCACCAAATAAACTAGGTTGGAATTCACAAGAATCTTTTCTTTTCGAAATTTTTCGTTCTCAAAACGGTAAGCGAAATCAACCCTTCCGAGCGTTAATACTGGATCGATTGTTTATATTTATTGGGTGACCAAATATTTATCCCATTGCGACAATGTCGCCCAGACATATTTACTTTTGCCCAAAATCAAAAGATATTAGGAAACTTCTGGAATTTGCTTTCATTCTGGTCGAAATAAGTACTTGGACTTTATTTCTGACTGGTAAGCTGATTTAGGAGCTGGTCCCAAACATAGCTAAGTCATCATAGATTAATAATTTTTCTCCTTTGACCTTTAAATTTACCCCATTTTTTATTAATGGAATCAATTCATCCATAAACAAATATTATTTCAATTAAATGGCAACTTCTGGATCGAGGTAACATTGGAGATATCAGACTAACAAGTTGGGTAAATATTTTACTGTTCAAGGCGGTGCAAAACGACCTTCGAACGTTGACATAACCTGTAATTAAAATCTGTCATTTCCAACGTTTTTTCCCATTAATGTTATGAAAAAGGGTAGACCTTTTTATTTATTTCAAGAGATTTTAGGAAATCTTTACGACAGGACTGGAGTCGAAGTTATAAGAACACCTTCTATACGCCATGTTAGCGGGCAAGTACGGGCGGACTTGGTCGGCTTTATCGATTTTTTGCTAAGAAAAAACAACTGGAACTTTTTAATACCCATTTCGTGGTTAGGACCCTAAAATTAGCCTTCATGCCAAATTTCAGCCAAATTGGTAAGGTTACGTGGCCGCGATTTTTTTTTAAAGTTCGAAAGTTACAGACTATTGTTCTTTATAAACTGCTCAGTTGGGGCCGTAATATCACTCTGTATAGGACAATTTCTTTTTCTGGAAAAAAATAATATTTTCTGACTTTTAGGAGGACCTTATGATAAGCGTGCTAAAAATAATTTTCCACTTAACCGCCATTTTCTCAAACTTCGCTTTCCCTCGAAGAATGTTCCACTTACAAGTTGCTGAACGAATCTAACAGAGCGGAAACATACAACCCGACTTCATTCATGCACCTTTGTGACAGAACACTTTTTGGCTGGTACAGATTCAGCGGAGAGGCTGGTTTTAAAATGGCTGAACATTGTGTCAGCAAAGGTCGTTGTGGTACTTTTGCACCTGGTTGGCTCAGTGGGACCCATCCTACTTTAGCTGAAGGTGCTGTTGAACGTAAAGTGTGTTTCCATTGGTCTGCCTGGATGAGTGATTGCTGTTCGTTTTCAACATTCATCAAAGTTCGCAATTGTGGAAAGTTTTACGTCTACAAATTAAGGCCGCCACCTGTTTGTTCATTGCGCTATTGTGGCAATGGGTTATTTAAAAAAGGTGAGAAATTCTCAAATATAAAAATTCATGTTATATTGATACAACTGTTAATTTTGTTTTAACTTTCTCTATTATTTAAAACTTAATGCGCTGCACGAAATTGTGAAATCCATTTGGTCGACCAGGGTTTCTTATCAGCCTCAATATGCTACGTTCATGTTTAAACAACTTCGGTGTTCAGGTTTTCGAACCTTTCATGATCTTTAAACAGCACTTTTCACATTGGATTCTTGAAATACGACGAGGATCGGTTGCGCTCTTTGCGCCCAAAATCTGATTGACAAATCATGAGATTCCATGGTGCCGCTCGTCCGTTAAGAGTAAGAAAGAGTCACACTAAAATGACCTTGACTTTGTAAGTATTCCCTCTTTCATTTTAGAGTTAACAACAGAACCAGTAACGTCGCATAGGAGTGTGGACAATCAAGTTTCACATACTATGTCTTCCCCAACACAAGCTGGGAGAATGACCACAGGTATGCACTCACTTTTCTTGTGAAAGGCTCTGGGAAGATGAACTGTAACGCTGTTGATTCTGCGGCTCAATTTTAAGGGCTTTTATTTCATTTTAGTTTTTTGTTCTACGAGTTTGGTAAAATGAGTCTGCTCAAATTCCTTCTTTTTAATGATTCTGACCACCATGGCGAGTAGTAGAGGAAAGAGAGAGTGGAAGTGATCAGAGTAGAATGGAGACTGGACCTGATCTGAAATTGTAAACAGGCTGTTCATTATATGCACAATTTTGTATTGCCTGGTTGGTGGAATTTAGCACTATGAACATGTAGAAAATAAATGTAGTACCTTTCTTTCGCATGCGTTCTTCAGCTACATTTATGCCCCGTCTGTAAGACTGAACAACATATACCACAGTTATCAACGATCATGGGGCTCGAGCGAATTTTCATATCTGTATAAAAAATTAGCTAAAACTGGGCACACGTCTTTATCATATTTTCTTGTTGATTCTTTTTTAGCATCGACAACCGTTCTATCAGAGGAAAACAAAAGCGCCAAACCGAATAGAGGACCAGTCTTGACAAGATCTTGGCCGACAACTAACTTTTCTCAGTCCACGTCGTTTACACAAAAATTACCATCAACTAAAAGACCTTTCGTAGGTAAAGCACCGTAGTGGCTGGGATGAGATTTTCTTAGTCTGAATAGGGAAACCTGATAAATTGCATGCTGCGGGTTACCTGCGATAGACAAGTACTACATCCAGGATCTGAGTTCTAGTGTTAGTCTTAGTAGCTTTGTGCACAAGAAACCGTGACAAGCTCTGGTCCATAGGTTACAGGGCAGATGTGGTCCATAGGCGACATGTCAGGTGTTCAAACTCAGTTTAATATTAATAATATTTAACAAAATTCGGTGAGCGAAAATTTAGAGTATTGAACGGCTTATCTCCTAAACTTCACCCTCATCGATTGATTTTAAAAGCATAGTTTTTGGAGAACAAAAATTTGTCTTTGTTTGCGGCGTTCATCACTGTCTTTATTCTTTTTTTACTTTGTTTCCTTATCCTCTTTTGACTCACTCGCTTTCGTCTTTGTCCATTTATGTACATGTATTTATCAATATTTATGTTTCGTCTTAAAAATCAATACATTCCCGTAAGGCACCGTGAGGTTAACCCCAGATGAAAATGATGGGCATGGTTGTTTTTCTCCATAGAGTTCAAATCACTGAAAACTCCGCCATTAATCATTCATGTTTTTTTTTAAGTCATAGAAGAATCAGCCTCCAGAATTCCTTTCAAAATAATCTGGGGACTAGTCGGTGCACTTGCCTTAGCCATACTAGTTACGATTATTGTTATTTTTGCAAAACAAATCAGACGGAAGAGAAAAGAGAATGTCAACAAGGTATATTAACAAATTATAATTTATTTGCTTTGCCTTCTCTACTGATTTTAAAGTGGTTATTTTTTGTTTTCATGAAATGAAAACTGACTTGATTGACGTTTTGGAAAGTTATCCTTCGATGCTCTTTTATTTCTAGGGGAGGATCGGTGAAAATGATATTCACATGGTTGAAGTTACAACAGATGTAATCAACCATTTAAGAAGTCTTGGCCGGCAATTTTCCACAGGACAGCTGGATACACCCCGCGCAGTCGTAGACGAAGTATTGGTAGTTGATAATGAGACATATCTAAAGCAAATGGGAATTGACAGGAACTGGGAAATTCCTCGAGAAAAACTGGAAATAACGGAAGAAAAACTTGGTGGAGGAGAGTTTGGAGTCGTAAAAAAGGGAAGCTATATCAGGAGAGATGGTCAGAAACTGCCCGTTGCTGTTAAAATGTTGAAAGGTTAGACATAATCAAAAGTTATATTCGCTCTCTCCTTTTTTCTTGCAGAACCAAACAAAGCTTTAAGACTTTTTGACGACTTTTTGTTGACTTTTTGATCAATTTTTGTTATTTAAGAACCCATGGTGGGTACGATTAAAACCTTCGCATTATCATTCACGGCCTGTACAATTAGCTGTGTGTTTTGGCCACATGCCCCTAAGAGACCGATTTTTCTAACACGGTGCAGTCTATTAGTCGCAATAAAACTTTTCTGCTTGTTAACCATGTTGAATAGCCAGTACTGAGGAAAAAAAGCAAACTCTTCGTGAATTTTCGATGCACTGAAATTTTGCTTTTTTTTGCTTCTTTTTTTTTTTTTTTTTAACAGATAACACAGATGAAAAGCAGCGCATTGGTCTGATCCATGAGTTAGAAATTCTTAGGAAAGTTGGTCGCAATTCAAACATAGTGAGCCTCGTTGGGGCGTGCTCATTTGAAGGTATTACACGAAAATAAAGCTTTAAAGGCAAGAACAATTTTGTTGAATTTATATAGGGGTCATTTACCATATTGCGTGCCTGTAAGTAAGCTTACTTCAGCTATGAATGCAAAGATTTGAATTTTATGGCAGTGACTTATCAGATATAATTGTGTTTCCCTGCAGAAACGACCGAGTGTGGTCGGGAAAATTAATATACGTTAGGAAGAGTTAGATGCATGAAAATCTGTTTGACTTTTAGTTAAGTTACATGTAAACCGAGTTTCTCTTAATTATTAGAAATAATTGAACGAAGGAATAAATATGTGTGGTGGGTATGCCAATTGAGCATAAACATTATTGATACATACGTTTGTCGATGGCGCTTTTATTTCTGTCCTTAGAACCTTTGTGTGTGGTTGTTGAGTTTGTACCTGGTGGAAGTCTTGATCAGATTTTGCGTGACAGTCGAATTCCTGTCGGGACATTAGATACAAATTATGTCAACGTTTGGTCGAAACTGTCCGAGAGGGAACTGTTAAAAATTGCTTCAGATGTTTCAAATGGAATGCGCCATTTAGAAAGCAAACTGGTGAGTAATAATTTGTTGTGTGTACTCTTCTCGACTGACCTTGAAATTCAGCTGCAGTTAAGAGAATATTTCGTACAAACGTGAGTTCGTAAAAATTTACGGCCTTTTCGTTTTTGTGCGACGGTGGTGTAAAGGAAATTAAAAAGGCACTCACCTTCGGATTTTAACCATTAAGCTACAATGGTCTTTGCACTGCGACAAGGTGCAAAAATACCTTTTTCCCTCACTACGTTCGTCCAAATGAAAAACATTTTCCTTCTAATTCGGACAGAAGATAGACAAACAGAGACATAAAGAAACTACAGTAAATACAAGTTGGGTGGCTTTACTGAGCTTTTTGGACTCTCTTTTCATTTTCCGAGAAAGAGGAAACATACGTATGTTTTAACTAACCTGTGCGTCTTTCATTTGTTATGGGTTCAGTGCGTTCATAGAGACTTGGCTGCTCGAAACGTTTTGATCGGTGAGGGACTGGTAGCAAAGGTGGCAGATTTTGGAATGTCACGTGACATTTCTCAAGATGGAGCTTACATTAAGTGCACCGAGGTACATAAACGTCTATGTCACTTTTTTCAATTTCTTTTTAAACTTTTTATTTGCAAGTCCATGAAAAAAAAAAATAACAACAATAATTTACAGTCTTGTTTTTTTTAAAAAATGGATATACCGGGGTTACACCTTACTTGTATTCTCAAATGCAAAATTACAGGGCAAAATCCCGTGGCTATGGATGTCTTTGGAGAGTTTTAGGGGAATCTACACCACGATGTCTGATGTGTGAGTAGCGGCCTATTTTATAATTTGCCATACCGTTCATACCTTAAAAATAAAAAAAAATTTCAATTAAATGTCATCGTTTTCCGAGGAAGATGCTAAACAGGTACGAGAAAGTCGAGTCGTCATCAGCAACGCTCATTCACATTTGGTTTTTGGTGTCTCTGGATGTCTTGCTCTTATTTTTATTATTGATCAGAACACGATAAATTTGTCAGAATCAAATCAAAGTGTTCACGGTTTTCCAACACTTTGTCTTGTATAAGGACTATGATAGGTTTCGATCACCTTCATCAGGTTCAAAAAGAAAGTGTTTTTACATCAGCGGTGAAATAAACAGACAAACAAACAAAAATAACATAACCAAATGACACTATACCTGGCAACTGCACCATTAGCTCTGCCAATACTATATTGACCTGTACAATACGCAATGTTAGTGATTATATTCTTAGCCTTTGACTCGTTCTACCATAACAATGCTACAGTAGTTAGACGGTTGATCATACTTTTAATTGCGAAGGTGCAGGCGTGCATGATTATAAAAAGCACGAACGATTAAACGAACTTAGTCCGGCCAAAAGACGCTAATTTGTAACGCTGGAATCTAAGATACAGTATTGTGTGTTTTTTTTCCAGCTGGTCATTTGGTGTCGTTCTCTGGGAAATCGTCACCTTGGGTGAGTGGAAACGTAAAAGTAGCATCTTGCCTCTTTCCTGACCGTAGTCTTGCTCGGATGCCTAAAAACCTTGATGGCACATTGATATGAAAGCAGAATCATGCTAAGATGGTTTCTTTTATACCAGGCAGCAGAAGACACTTCGAAAACAAAATTAAACATAAGTCATACGTGTTAGACGATGTAAATTTGACTGAATTGCCCTTAGAGATTCTACTAACCTTGGACCTTCCGATTACGTGTTCGATTACTGTTCTAACTGCTCTGCATGGCCACGGCTACAGCTCGTTGGCATCTTAGGTCACAGTATAGATTCAATTGAAATGCCAGTATTAAACGTCAGCATGACGCTCCGATCAGTAACGTCGATCGCACCCTTTGAAGAGAGATTTGGAAAATGTGTGCCTGGTCATTGAACAGAGATGGATTTTACCCTTTATTAACGATGAATTTTCTTCTACAGGTGAGCAACCTTACATCGGAATTACAGGCATTGTACAACTTTGTAGCTTACTACAGGATGGAACGAGACTTGAGAAACCACCTCACTGCTCTAAACAACTGTAAGTTATTTAATTAATAGGGAAGATTTTAGGTTCCAAGCATTGTAGCTGCAGGCTTTGCACCATGACTGGGGGTTGTTTTTGTAACTAAAGTGCCCCAGGTTTTGTCCTGTGTTTGACAAAGAGCCTCAAGAAGTGATTATTTATGCTGCAAGTCAAAGCTACAAAGAATGTTCTCTTTTTTACATAACAATTAAAAACTGGCAGATTTCAAGGCTGATAACATGAAAATGGAATGAAGCACTTTAATATCCTATTGGTTGTTCGATCATTTAAATCTTCTTAAGCCAAGCTCTTTGTTATTGCCTATCATCCCTAGTTTTTGAAGTGTCGCCTAAGGCCTGTTGTTAGAAACAATTTTAGGTGTTAGAAACCTATGCAACCTTTTTCATGTTTAGTCATAAGAGGTGATATGTTACTTCAATATGCAACCCCTCTACTTTCATTGCGTCCTCTTTAGGTATGACATTATGCTAGAGTGCTGGCAAGAGAGACCAAAAGATCGCCCAACTTTTAAAGAACTCCATTCGAAACTTCACTCGATCTTGTACGAGACCACGGTATGGATAAATTACAAGTAAAAAACTCTAGAGCTGGCATTATAGTCGACCAAGAACCAACACCAATGTTATCGCAACCATTAATAGAATAAGGCAGACATCATAAGTAGCCAATGAGAACCCTTACATTTATTGCAAAAAGATATATATCGGCGAAACAGGAAGACGAATTGGCGACCCATCCCGAGAGCACCTCCGTAACGTAGAGGGGAATGACAAAGACGCATCCAAACCAGTCGCTAGACATTTTAATACCCCTAATCACTCTAAGTGGCATATGTTATGCCCAGTCTGTAGCTTTTCCTCGCATTTAGGCAGTTCGGAAAGCCACAAAACTCTAAAATAAAAATTTATCAGCACTCCTGATCCCCACCAAGAGACTACGAACCGGCGGTTTACAATCCCTCTTCCCCACGGATTATTTTCCCCACCAACTGAAATTATTTTGATAAGTTACTCGGCAATTAAAGCTAACACTGTAAGCTGAGTCATCCGGCCGGTTAAGACTTCTACAGAATGAATAAAGGAGGAGTTTACTTTGTGTTACTTATTAAATAACTCAGGAAAGCCGCTTGAAATATGGTGATATATTGATTTCTTATTACCGCAGGTTACGTACATAAACATTTCCTATTCAGGGGGAAGAGGAGATCACGCTGATTTTCAAGAGCTCTCTGACAGCAATAGATGATCTTAGCAGCGAAGGTCATAGACAGCGGAGCAGCGTCCCCCACACGTTTAGGTCCAGAAATTATCGCCCGCGTCACAGGATAAAACTGGCTTTGTAAAGTTCTCTGTCCTATGATCTTCTTAAAGTGTAGTAGTTAGTATACTCTTCCACTTCATAAATTTCCGATTTGCAAATTCATTTGAAATTTGCACGTACAACCGAAGCAACTGATTCAACGAAAATGACTTTCATTATAGGGTGATGACACTGATTTAATCACTTATTGAACTCTAGGCCACTCTTCTATTCCAATTTTCCCTAAAATATCCTTTTTTTTTCTCCTTCCGAGAAAATATAAACGCTTGTTTGGTGACTGTTTTCGAAAACACAATACGAAACTCTGAGGTCTCATTATCTAAACAAAGTTTAGCCGTTGTTTATGAAAACTGCATCCTGAACGATCCTCAATTTAGCCGAACCTTTTATCGGAACATTCAGTATTGTGAACAGCGTTAAGAGGGCCGAAAGCTATTTAACAGTGGAAGAAAATTTATTTAATTAAATAGGCCCTATTATAAAGCCTGAAACCCACTGATTGCGTGGTTTGGGTTAGACCTCGTGTAAATAACGGGCCCTAAATGTTCCTATTTATAATATCCTTGTTCATACCTTTCGGCTGGGTTCTGTTTAGTCTCCTTTGTTTTTTCTCCTCCATGTCTTCAAATTAGAATGAGAACGTTCTGTATTGTGGAAGGGGAGATTTTGTGAGGCAAGAATGTACGAGGCGGTTCTTTCTTTTCAAGTTTCGATAGCTAAACTAGACGTCACTTCACAGGGAAAAGAGGCCTGAAGTAAAATGCTCTCGTTTCAAAGAAAAAATATTTTCCTCAAAGCTTCCATAATATTCAGATCACACCCATTGAGATATTTCTGCGAGGAAAAGTTTGATTTAAACTACGTGCCGGTGACCGCGTCGGTAATCCTTCTGGGATGTTTATATGGGCTCCTGGAAAAACAGGATCAAGGATCAAGGATCAAGGATCAAGGATCAAGGATCTATGGATTGCCGGATCAAGGATCAAGCATCAAGGATCAAGGATCAGTTCAAAATAAATCAAATAAATTAAATAAATTAATAGGCATGACTGATTGCTAGGCTTGAGTCGATTGTGCCAGCATAATTTTTAGCATAATTTGACAAAACGAGCATAATTTTTACCTTTTTTCAAAGAAAAGCACTGCCGGCATAATCTGCATTTTTACTTCCACGGTGTGAACAATTTTCGTAATTTTGTATTGAATATACTTCTCTTGACTGAATTATGTTTCTAGAATGTTGTTGCTAATAATGAATTACGCCAACGGTGAATTCACTGCGGTCGTTGTAACGTTTGTTGGTTTTAGGCCCTACTCGTGCGACTCGCTAGCGAGTTGACTGAGATCCAAGATAAAAGATGGCGTCCACCTAGTCGAACACTTTTAGTTCTTCAGGCAATGTCTCATTAAGTAACTCCTCTTTCAACCATTCGCAAGACCATGCTCTAAGAGATTATGTTCGGGCTTGTGTTATGCTTCAGCACAATAAACGCTGATAAGTGTATTACTCTGCATCCTTACTTTGACTTAAGAAGCTCCATTGATTGAAAAATGATGAGCAGCATGTTTATCGAATCTGAGGAACAAATGCAGGGGAAACATGCAACGATACAATGTTTGATAATTGGTTTATTAAAATAATGGGCTTCAGTTACCAGATAAGTAATCAGTTGCTGTTTGTTTTGTGTTTACCCCGGTGCTCTGCCTTAATTTTGCTTAAAAATCAAGTAGCATAGTTTTGATGCCAGGAGCATAATTTAGAGAAACGAGCATAACTCGGGCTTAAATTTCGTAAATTTTGAGCAGTGCTAGGAGCATAATATGCCAGTTTTACGAGCACAATCGACTCAAGCCTGCGGGGGAAGGGCTAGAAAAACAACACCTGTCTGTCAACAGAGAGAGATCTTGACTGCGTCACGTAGATGAGCAATCGACCATGCCTATTAACTTATTTAATTCATTTGATTCGTTTTGAACCGATCTTTGATCCTTGATCCTTAGTCTGGTGATCCTTGATCCTTGATCCGGTCATCCTTGATCCGGTGATCCAGTGATACTTGATCCAGTTTTTCCAGTCAGTTAGACCACCCGAAGAAATCACTGATTTTGAGTTTTTCTGAAACAACCTGGAACTCGACCTACTGATCTCCTCGTGTTTCTCATGTCTTGTTTCATTCCACCGAAGAGCAACGGCTAGGTAAAAACAATGTCCATTTCCGCCGAAAACGACTTCTCTCCTTTGATGACATAATTTGTTCGTCGAAAACTTTAACTAGTACGAAAACAGGCTGTACACACATCAATACCACAATAAGATTGTACTGAGTTATTTCTCAAAGGCTTAAAGTTAATTCTGTGGTATTTCGAGACCATTGCTCGAAGTCAATTTCATAATAAACCTTACGCAAGGTGAGTTTAATAGGTAGATTTTATCGGATATTTCATGGTTCATAACACAAACCCGTACCCCTCCCTCGTATCCACATTACCCAAATCCATTTGTGATAAAATGGCGGCGAAAAGCGATGATCTCTCACCAAAATCGTGTATTTTTACATGGATTTTAAAAGGATTCGACTACTGACAACTCTTTCATCGCTGAACTACGAAAAATGTCAAACAATTCAAGACTTTGTCGAAGATGAGAAACGCTTGGCAAACCTTACCGTGGGCCTGCCACAAGCATCACGGAAAAACAAGCCGACGCATGGGTTATTTCCCATTTCACGATTAGTCCTTTAACCTTGCTGAAAATTTCTAGAGTTCTTAAATTATTTTGAACTAAATGAACCTTGAACTAGATAGACGACTCAGTTGAACGCCCATGTCAGTCGCTATTATTTTGTGGTAGGGGGGGGGAAGGATATCTTCGCTCACCTCGCTCATCCCCCCACGGGCTGGATTGAAGCCTGTGAGGATTTGTGACAAACATTCTGCTCTGTTCGCCCGGAACCTCGTTCAAACCCTAAATAACTTGTTTTCCACCGGAAGATCATGCGCCTCGTGGAAATATTAGGTAATTTTTTTTATTTGTTTCCTGTTACGACTTAAATTTTTATTCCATCATACATTGTGATAATTTTTAGCTAGAACTATTTCGTGACATGAGGTTTTAGAATTTGACTTTCACACGAATACAACTTATGTACTTACTCATGTATTCACAACTGTACGCCTTCGTTTACGAGGGTAACCGGTCGTTTCGCCAACGGTAGTTTCGCAAACGTCTGTGCTCAATTCGCAAACGTGTAGAAGTCAGTTCGCGAACGTTTAGAAGTCAGTTCGCAAACGTTTTAAACATTACATGTCAACCTGGGTGTAACTATATGATTCAGAATACTACATAACTGACACGTTGTATGCGTAAATTGTTGGATGTGAAATCTCACCGCTTCTTTCTCGCTAAAGTATATTTCATAGTCAAATGGACAGTTTTTATCCCGTGTCTTGGTAGTTAGTGGACCTTCCCTCAAAGAGCAAAGCTTCCTGATAGAACATAACAACAGTAAGTCCTGTTTCATATCGGTAGATTGATTTGCGGATTACAGCTACTGTACATGCAACACGCAAACGCTGTGATAGAGCAAAATCAACCACAAGACTGTATGACTTAAGCTAGAGAGTTAGTTTGTAAGCTCAAACTTTGACATCTCACATCTACAAAGTGTGTGAACTGACTTCTTCCCATATAAATGTTTAAAACGTTTGCAAACTGACTTCTAAACGTTTGCGAACTGACTTCTAAACGTTTGCGAACTGACTTCCACAAGTTTGTGAACTGACCAGAGACGTTGGCGAAACGGCCGTTGGCGAAACGAATCGTTTGCGAAACGACCGACACTCGTCTACGAGAATGAGTCGCCGTATAGGTCTTGTTTAATATCAAAGAAAACGATGTTGATCATTTCACGTGAGCTGCAGTTTCAGATCTTCATTAATGAAATTCAAATTTTCTAGCTTTTCGAATATTCGAAAGGCTAGAAAATTTGAATTTAGATATCGAAAGCCATCGTTCATCGCATGCAAAATGAGAAAACAGAACAGCACCATCTTAGTACACAGTTTAGGCTTGTGGCTTGCATTTAAGAAAACAGGGAATAAAATTTTCGACAGATCTTGTTTAAGTACACTATAATGGTTCATTACAATGCTTAGCATGTGGAGTGTTCAGCTGAGAATGCAAATTTAATTTGACACTCTCAGCAGCTAGTTCATGTATTTCAAGGTACAATATCCAGTGCTCTCAAGTACCCACTCATTATAATAGTAATGCTTTTTTAGTCCATTTTCCTATACTACTTTCACCTGATTGATTAATTATTCCTAAGTTGCTCTTAATTTAACAAATAGATTCCAAGTTGCCCTGTGTCTGTTCAGTAACAGATCACAGATGACGTCAAAATGTGGTAAGAACAAAAAAGTGGCACATGAAGCGTAGCTGAGTGTGTCACTGATTTTCTTACCACATTTTGACATCAGCTGTGATCTATTACTGAACAGACGCATGGTAACTTAGAATCTATTTGTTTTATATAACAAAGAATTAAAAAAAGTTTTAATGATGATGTCATCTATATGCCTGTCCTCCAATAGATCATAGGTGAGAATCAATCAGAAGGTGTTCATAACTGAGCTTATTATGTAATAATTTGTAGAATGTCAGTGTTCCATTATGGTTCAACAGCTGATGCTTTAATGACACCTGTTGTAACACGTTACATAAAAAATCTTCCTAAGCACAGTGTTTTGGAAATCATTTACCTATGTCACTTAAGACTGTTCTCAACTTTCATTCTTGACAGCTCTACTATGAATGACTAATTATGCAATTTCCTATTAAAGTCAAATCTGCATTAGCAGTCACCCCCAGGGTATGGCATGGTGATCACTTCCTGTAAGTTGACCATTTAATACAGGTTCTACAGAATAGGGGTATTGTAAAAAAACATCACTTTATGACACATGTGACCATTTGATGTATGAAACTTGCTCACAAATACTACTGGCGTTGATTTCTGGAGATAAACATGGACAAAATATACTGAAAAGCTTTTTCTTAGTTTTATTTGATTGGTTCTGGTTTAAGGGAACATCCAGCCAAGCAGCTAGGACTCAGTTAAGGGTGATTATGATTGCTTAATAGAAGTGACTGTTTAACCCTTTAACTCCCAAGATCTCATTAGTAATTCTCCTTGCTGTCTGGTCTGCTTTACAATTCTTATGATGTCAATTTGGAGAATTTGATATTGGATCAACTAATAATCCCCTGATTTATATCTTATTTCATTCTGATCACTTCTATGCTTGATGTTGTACAGATGTAAGGGGAAATTCTCTCTTAGTCACTCATGGGAGGTAGAGAGTTATTAGAGGTGAAAATTGAGGTGTTTTAGGGAAAAGAATTCTGGGACTTTGACTACCTACCACTTAATATTGGGTGACTGCTTAATACAGTGCTGCTTTATTCAGGTTCAACTGTATGCATAGTATTTACAAGTATATGACTGATAAGCCTGTTTAGTTTATAACTCTTCTGTATGACCAACTCCATTTTATAGCCTACTTTTGGGCATAAACAAAATAATAATTACGTTATTTCCTTATTTTGCAAATAAATTTTATTGACCATCTCATTATCATGACTTAACTTTGTTGGGAACAAGATGTAATTTCCTTGGCAACAAGGGCTCTATGATCAGAGTTCTGATGTTTGTTGGTTTTTTATTTAAAAAAAATTGAGAGTTAGGAGTGTCAGCTATATATGCCCTTGTGTCCATGCTACTTAGGCAGACTCTGTTATCAAATGAATCCTCTTTAAAATAAATAACAAATACTTAGTCTGGTAAATGGGTAAAAATGAAACAAAAACTTGATTGCATTTAATGTGTTCATACAGTGTATGTTCTATATTGGTAGCCAATCTAATTGCAGAGTTGTTCTTTAGTTGCTGCTGATTAAAAGTGCATTTCTATTTCATACCTATTCAGGTCTGTTTTTGTTATCATGGGCAGCAATCAAGACTACATTTGCACAAAATACTAGTAAGTGACATTAATTAAATTCATTTGATTGTTGCATTTTCTAGTAAAGCTGTGATGAATAAGTGGAACTCTGGTATCAGCACTATAGGATACATATCAGTCCATGAATAAAGGGGATAAGTTTCTAAAGAAACTGTGGTGCTGGGTTGGTGGGAGAGTTTAACATGGTATCATCTGAGTTGATAACATAAATTGGCCATGGTAAAGAGTTTGAAAGCTGACATTTTGAGTGTTACCCATTCCTCAAATTGAAGGGCTAACACCCTGATGGAGGGCTAATGCTCAAAACGTCAATTTTGAAACTCTTTATGGTGTTCAATTTATGTTATCAACCCCACTGATAAGACTTATTACCTTACATATCAGTCAGTGCCTGAGTATCTTCATATTAAAAACAGAGAATAAATGATAAGAATAGTAACGAATATAATTGAATATAAGAGAGTGTTTAATTCAAGATTTGTTTATAGCTCACTGGTTCTGTAAGGATGCCCTCTTCTTTACATTCTAACCTCTTATTAGATGTAAGAGAAATAAGATAAAAACAGAAATCTGCTAGTCTTTCTAGAGCAAAGGTTAGGAGCTCTAGACCTATTTTAATGACCAGCAACTGGTCTGCTGAGGCCTGAGTTTATGTAGGTTTGTTAGTGCTATTTTGAAACTTCTTTGGTTGTGCAGGAGGCAGTAGGTCTTTTGTGTTTATTTGTCCAGGGTTGCCTGTTCTTTAATTTCCATTGCGACAGTATGGTCATATTTACTGTTGTGTCTGTCGAATGAAAAATTATTATGATAGAGTTTTTGTACTGCATGTCCTGTTAGGTTTTTGAGTTTTTCAGTTTTGCCCCCAAGCTTCTTAAAGTCATTTTGTGATATGGATTGCAAGCATTGAATTTCAAAAGTATTGGAGATGTATGCTTGAAGGGGGAAGGAAGAAACTGATATTATTAATTTTTTCTTCAAGGGATGATATAGAAACTTGTTGGTATGTAAAGGTACTGTATGGGTCCCATATGCCTGAGTTGAAAAGACCTTAAATGCACAAAATCTCAAGTGAATCTAATTTAAAAGGACAAACACATTATAAAGATAAAGTTCTTTACAGGAAATTTGCATGATCTCTTCACAGCTGCAAGTCCCAACAACACATGTTTGCCAGGGAACACTAACAACAACAACCTCAAATTAAGTGGCCTTAATGGAACGTTTGAGAGTCCAAGAGATCCTTATCACTTTCAATATTACCCAGAAATGAGCTGTGATTGGTTCATTACTGTACCAGAAGGGAACATTGTAAGACTCAGCTTTGATCTATTTGATATGGATTATGTGGCTGGTGGTTCGCCTTTATGGTATTGCTATGGTGATTATGTAGAGGTACTTGAAGGGAACAGAAGTGACAGTAAGGGTAGTGGAAAGTTGTGTGGTCTGACAAATCCAGGGATAATCCGCTCGAGAAGTCGGTACATGCTGGTGCGATTCAGATCAGATATCTTCTCCTCCTCTTATCACAAAGGGTTTAAGGCTACTTTCACTGCAGAGAATAAACTCAGTAAGTCAACAAGTGTGCAACCGTGGAAATTAAGCCATTGTGGATGAAGGAGGCCAGTTTTTTTTTTTTTTTTATCAAGATAAAAATATTGAGTCAAGAATTTTTCTTCTCAAAGCACCTTATTTTTTTCTTAAACGAGATCTTTTTCTTAAGGGAAAATTCCTTTTATTTGCCCTACTTTCATGCTGATGTTCGGGTGGTTTTCTCCTCTCTTTAGAGAGATTTCACCACCGTAGTGGAAGCCCTCATTAGAGCCAAGTGAAGAATTGATGTCTGTTGAGTTTCATAAGTCTGGTTCTTGTGAACTGATTGACCGATTTTGCCGTGGTCTTATTGGCTGTAAGACTCAAATTGCGTAAGGCTCATATGATTGGTCAGTTTCGTTCTATAAGTAATATTAGGTCGTTCTGTTGAGTTTGTTTGTGGTGTAGTCGTTGACATTTGGCGAGTGATTCTGTTCTAAGTTAGTGAACCAGCTTTCCAGAGACTTTCATTCATTGGGTTACAGCATTGCACTCTGAAACGTCAGTTAGTATTATCAACAATGGTCCCTCTCAGGACTTCTCTCGCCCAGAGTGTTACTCCTGGGTTCAAACCATTCGTTGTATTTGTACTTTTTAGTTTGTCCTTACTACGGTGAAGCACTTACTGCTTCTGTATCAGATGAGAAGACACTGACGAGTCCAGGCTATCCACTTTTGGCTCCTGCCAGTTTGTTGCCATGGAGGTGCAGATGGATACTTAAAGCACCAGATGATCTTTCCACTGGTGGAGCATACGTATTGAAAGTTACATTTGATTACTTCAATCTGCAAAAATATTATGATAAACTCACTTTTCATGATGGTATCAATTCAACATCAAAGCGTCTTGGAAAATCATATACCGGAACGGTCCATCCTGATGTGATTTATTCCACAGGACGCTACATGTTTGTTGATTTTTCTGTGAAAGAAAAATATTCATTGGAAGCAGGCAGTTTTAGTTTAAACTTTTCAGCCGTGGTCAGAGGTAACGTTATTTGGGCATTCTTGGGTTTACTCAGAAACTCAGTTGGCCTAAGGGGCTTAGGGAGGGGGGAGGGGTGAGGAGATGGGATTGTTTAAGTTTTCCTTTTGCATAAGTTTGCGGAGTTTGTCTTTCCGGGGTTTGACTGTTGAAGCCTTACAGGTGTTGAAAATGTACTGCAGGGATTAGGGGGAAGTCTGATGGCATTATTCATAAAATCATGATCAGTGAAAAGGGTCACTTTTCTATGTCTTGTATATTTTGGTGAAGAAGAAAAAATATATTATAGAAGCAGTCAGCTCTTTATCAATTGTTTCTTGGAGGGGAGCACCACAGACCTCTAACAGAATGAAGAAGGGTGAGGTTGATAAATATCGACAAGGATTCCAAATGAATGTCTGAGATCGAGCTGCAACGTTGTTATTGTTGCATTCATTTGCAGAGGAAGCCTTTGGAGTATGCCAATCGTCAGAAGGGAATGTTGAGCGTATTCGCCTCACTGGTTCCTCTGGTACCCTTTTCTCCCCATTCTATCCTACTCCTTATCCGAAAAATGTCACCTGTATTTGGGTGATTTCCGCTCCTGCTAACAAAAGAGTGGAGCTAACATTTGATAAATTTGATCTTAATCGGGAGGACAACGTGCGAATACTTGATGGGCGTAAGTCGTCGAGTGAAGAGGTAGCTGTTTACCACGGATACAACTTGTTTAGTAGTGAGTCAGCGGTGTATTCGAGTGGGAGGTACATGCGGATAAAGTTTCATTCTAGTCTGGCCTCTTGGTATAGTACCGGATTTAAAGCACATTTTGAGACTGTGGATCCGCGTAAGTACATTATGATTTTATTTATCAACAGACCAATGATTTTTAAGACGTAAAGCTTTTTCGTTAGCTTGTTCAATGTATTTATTTTGTTGTGAAAAAGTAAGAGCAAAGTTGGATTTATCGCTGATCCTCGCTTGCCTGGTGCTTAGGTGCGCCTTCCACATCAATTTTGGGTTTAAATAGGTAAGTTCAGAGTTAGCTATCATTGGAAAATGAAAGGGAAAAGGCTTGAAGTACTACTGATCATGACATCTCCAAGACTTTGTGTTCCTAAAGACTCTTTTGCTCGAATTGCAAACTAGCACGGTAAGGTGTTATGGATAGTGACTAGAAAAATACGTTTCTAGAAATTTCTAGAATGCCTAGTCACGCTTACATGCATATATGACCTTTTTTACTGTCATACCATGGAACTTTCGAGAACAATATATTAGGTTATGTAGTTATGATGTAAGACTTCCAAAACAGTTGTGTTTCAAGCTTTGGAAATGTCCTAGAATACCCTGTAAATGTATCTAAGGACTCAGTCGTTCAGTAGTAGTAGTAGTTGTTCTCGTTGGGAGTGCCTGACTGTCTGGAAAGCTATACCGAGAGGGAGAGAGAGAGAGACTTAGAGGCAGCGGTGCGTGTGTGTCAGTGGTAAAATAAGATATAGTCCATAGTATATAGTCCATAGTGGGCTCAAGTAAGTCTTTTGGAAGATAATTATTGTACTGCCCACAGGAGTCCCTACTTAGTAAGAATCATTACACATTGTTTAATAAGGTAGCTGAGTTTGTAGGGGTATAGAACCTTTCTTTCAGTTAAATTTTATAATTTTATATAAATTTTTTTTTAAGCTTGGTTGCTTCAAAGTTTTCTGGTATACCTGAATTTAGTCCATCGCCCTGGACCAAGACTGCTTCCAGAGTATCTTTGTATTCCCTTTTTTACTTTGAATTTATCAAATATGTGTTAATTAATTTGAATCGCTGACGACGCTGTACCACTTTATCAAAAAAATGATATTTCGTTATCACCTTTGTGTCGCCAGTCGGGCCCTAGTATTCATATGAGTATGTTAAAGCTCAAAAGGGTTTAAACTCTGTAGAGAGCCTGTCAAACGAATTACGGTTAGATCGCACCATGGTTAGATCGCTCTTAGTTAGATCACTCCACTCGAAAGTTAGATCGCTCCACTCGAAAGTTAGATCGCTCCATCAAATAACTTACTTCGCTCCCAACATAAGTTACTTCGCTTCATATAGAAAACTAAGGTAAGGGTAGCAAAACTAAGCTATCTAAATTGATAATTCATTAAATGACGTGTATATCTTACTTAACAATCGATTAATATCGCTCGCGCGCGCTTGAAATAAATCCGAGCTACGCAGAAAGAACAAATGAAGCTTCATGTAACGGCCTCACGAAGTGTTACCACGATCATTTATTCCATCATCGCTATACATCTAGCCACCTATATATATATAGGTGGCTAATCGGAAGGACAGAGTGAATACAATGTACTCGAATCGTCGCAAGACACATCATCACCTATGAACTTTAAAGATCATTGCTAAGTAATACCTCACATTACAACATGGAGCTAAGTACCTAATGTTGATAGCGAAGTAACTTATTTGATGGAGCGATCTAACTTTTTGTTGGAGCGATCTAACCGGATACCTGCCAAACACTTCCCTGAAAAATGGTAGGTTAAATTGTGTGATGCATCTTTCTTCCCAGCCGGAAGTTCCGAGCAGAGATGTTTTCCGGGCAACATTTACAACAACAACCTGAAATTATCTGGTTACAGTGGAACTCTTCAAAGCCCAGAGGGAGGAGAAGGGTATCTCTCTCACTCCAGCTGTAATTGGCTCATATCTGTACCAGAAGGGTATTTTGTGAAACTCAGCTTTGACACCTTTCAAATGCGTCATGATGGAGGATGTGATGCAGATTATGTAGAAGTTGTCGATGGAAACTACATCGACGGTAAGAGCGAAGGAAAAATGTGCGGTTCCAATACCCCCGATAACATCTCCTCTACCGGTCGTTACATGATGGTTCTTTTCAGGTCTGGTCCAATCAGATCATCTTTCAGGGGATTCAAAGCAACATTTACAGCGCTTCATGAACCAACAAGTAAGTGAAAGCATTCCTATTTCTTCGTTTTCGGGGAAGTCGGTGTCTCCCCTTAAACACCTTGCCACTCATTGGTAACATCCCTCATTTCCAGTCAGCTAAAGAAATTTTGTCTCAAGACATTTTACAATTGGGTCGTAGAGAAGGCAATTTCAAGGCAAACATGAAAAGCGTCCTTCATCACGACTGATTTGACAGGGTGTTGTTTGACAATACCTCAGAGGTTATCAGCACGAGTGAAACAGATTGAATAAAACAAAACTGTTATGTACTTCCCCATCAAAATAAAGTATTTTATATACGTACTTACTTTCTTTTTTACCGAGTGACTAACCGACTGACAGACGGACAGATAAACAGACATACATATACATCCGACGTACTCGTGAAAGGGTTTGTCGAGGAGAAAAGAACGACCTATCTGGGTACGACAGCAGGATAGGCGTGGATTGAGTTTCCTGATTGCAAGACCAAAGTACATTTAGTCACAAAAGCAAATCAGAAACAACGTAAAAGTAAAAATACTTTGTCAACGATATATTCTTGTGTAAACGACCTCAAGCTTGGGCATTGCTTTTGCATCTGATTGGTGTAGATAAAGGTGCCATATTCCATGACCAATAGCAGGGCATAATGAGGGAACCGATGAAATTTGGGGATATTTTTGTGACCATTGAATTTGGTTGTGATTTTTTATGCTATGTAACTTCTGAGTGATAACTTAAAAGTCAGGTAGAGTGAGCGATAACTGACACAATTTCAACTGGTTTCGAACTTGTGATGATCTTCACGTAAGGCATTCACAACTTGTTAAATCATGTTCTAAAAATGGTGTCTCATTTTGTTTAGCATGGCTTTCCGATGTCTTTTAGCCGCCATCATGCCATAAACATTTACATTTTCTTGTCAGATTTTGATAAGCTCGGTGAAACAACCGCACCTGAATCTCTCCGTAGCCAACTCCCCACTCCTTACCCCTTGGGATCACCTCAAGGAATTTCTTAAAGATTGTTTTCCCTTATTTGACTCCGTAGCGAAAACCAAAGCTGTAAATTCCTACGAGTTGTGTTACCCGGATAACGACCACAACGAGGATTTGAAGTTGACCGGATCAGAAGGGATTCTAGAGAGTCCGTTGACTTATTACCCACCGGGTTTATTTTGTGAGTGGCTCATCACTGTACCCGAGGGACAACGCGTTGAACTCATATTCGAGAGATTTCAGTTGGATCCTGGTTGCAGAGATTATGTAGAAGTTGAAGATGGATTGCCATTTTCTGGCACATATTTGGGAAGATACTGTGGAACTACAATTCCCGAAAACGTTCGTTCAAGTCACCGTAATCGTTATATGCGGGTTCAGTTCTACTCTGACCCGGATTATGCGGGTAGAAAACCACACAGAGGGTTCAAAGCCACCTTCAAGGCCGTATCAAGTTCAGGTTGTCTACCTTTGTTTTAAAAATTAGAGGTTGAATTTTTTGTAGTACATCCCATGCACCATCAACACGACTATCTTTGCAAAGCCTCGTGGAAACGATCCCTAGCTTCAGATAACTCTGCTTGTTTGACTTTTGTCTCTCTCTTTCTCTTTAGAGTCTTCTACTTTGATGACAGCCATTATTGTAACTTTAATAGTGTTTGTTGCACTGATTTCCCTTTTCGTTTGCTTGGCTAAACGAAGTAGAAAGCGGAACAGAGAGGCAGCGGAGAGAATTGCAATGGCTCCAGTATCACGCCGTACTCGGTCTCAACCAGTTGACACCACAACCCCTCAAGTAAGTTACGCTCCAGTTTCAACAAACGCAGATATGCCACCCCCAGATTACCCATACCCATTAGAATCGCCACCACCCTACCCTGGTAAGGAACAGATTCCACAGTTTCCACCTCCAGGACAGTCGTATCCATGGCAGCAAAGTACACCGGCTGAAGAATCCGTTACCCATGAGAATTCGTGACGTTTCTTTGACGATTTTAACCCTGTTTTGCGCTCGCCAGATAAGTTGGAGCTTAAAAGTAAGATTAAGATTAAGATTAAGCGTCAGCTGAGCAGAGAGGCTTACTAGGCCCAGTTTTATAAAGGGCGGATAAAGCTATCCGACGGATAAATCGCCATCCAGTGGATAAGTGATAGCAAAACGTACGGTGTCATCCACCGGATCGAGATTTATCCTGTGGATAGCGTTATCCGACCTTCGAACAGCCGGGGCCTGATCTATTTGGTCTATTTCGCTTTCTCGGGATTGCATTTACTTCTTTCCGGTTCTTACCCACTTTTCCCGAGCCAATACTTAAGGAAAAGTAAAAACAAGCACGCCATAATTTTACATATCGAATCATTATCATCATTATCATTGTAACCGGTGTTTCATACACCCGATGGGGAAAGCACGAAAGACTGCTATCTTAACCGTTGTCTATCCCTTCGATTTCTCCGTCAGTCCTGATCGGCGAATTAAAACCTCCAATTGAGACAATAGAGTTGGTTCGTCAGGTTATATCATCTAATTACAAAAGTAGTTGTAGAGACTTTGGTAATTATGAATTATAGAGAAAAAATGCGAAACTTACCAAACGGATGAAGAGAAAATAGATTCTAGTTGAGGTACATAGTGCATAGTGGTATTACTTTCAATCTGTTACAGAAGTAAAGAGAAACACAAGGGGCCGGTTATTTACACGAGGTTTGACCCAAACCGCTGTTTTACGCAATCAGAGGGCCTTACGTAATCTCTATAGGAGGGTTGTTTTAAGAAATAGATGCTCTTCATTGTTACCTTTCGGCCCTCTCGACGCTGGTCACAAATCGAATGTTCAGATAAAAGATTCAGCTTAATTCAAGATAGTTTAGAACTCGGTTTTGTTAAACCTCAGCTAAACATTGTTTAAATAACCGGCCCGAAGAGTTGTAACCACCAGCTTCCTTCACTGTTTCCAATGCAAATATTCGGGTATAACGAGTTCCTTAGTAAGAAAAAGACATATTCTTGTTCATACACAATAAAAACTGGCGATGAATAGAAAGACGTTTCGACCTCTCCGTTTTCCTTTATCAGGGTCTATTAAAATATGACAAGTTATTTTTATGAAAAACTGTCGTGTAAATATAATGGTATTAAAAACGGATGAGAATACAAAAAGCATTAAGGTGTGTTAAAATTGATTACAACTAATCAAAATATTTATAAGGTACAAGAATAGTAAAAAATAATTTCCCGGTGCTTGAGCCACACTGTTTGTTTAGCGGTGGTTAAAAAGCATTTCAAAAATAAGACAGTCAAGTTTGTTATCGCACTTTCTTAAAATGTTAAAACTTCGCGTGATGTTACCCGGTTCCATGCCACGTCGTTTACTATGCTGGTCTCCAATCGCCGACACTTTATGTTTCTTAATGATTTGGCATGAGTATTCGACGAAGCCAGCATCATATGCATCACACAGGTCACACCAACCTATCGCTGACTCACAAGGGGTGGCATGGGAAAATTTTTCCTTAAAATGGAAAAGTACGCAGATGGGTGAAAGTATGAATGCACGGTTGGGAATTGTTTTCAACAGCGCCCGTTAAAAATATTTAAAATAAGCTAATAACGGCTCGGTGCTCGTCGGCAACTATTTCTGACTATTTCCAGACCTCTTCTCGGTTGCGCCACGCGGAAAAACTTGTGCAATCCACCATCCTTCATTTTATTTATGTAAAGATATTAGATGCATCTCGTGCTCAAGCGACTGAGAAGTAAGAAGTTCCCAGAATCGTGTTTACCCTACCTACAAGGAACACTGAGAAGTCAGCAAACTCGGAAAGAAGACGACTTGCAGATCTCAGTTGCTAGATGAGTACCGAAATCAGCCCGGTTTAGACAAGTCGAAAGATAAAGAACGAGATCAGATTGAAGGAAGAGGAACCGCTCCTTGTGTGTCAGCAATCTGTTTTCTTTTTTCATGTGTGATCTGTATGATGCACTTTATGTCGAATACACATGACAGCACTTAAATCAACGCATTGAGGATCACAAACGGGATCGGCGATCGGAGACCATCTCATAAAGGAGCATGACATGGAACCGGACAACATCGCACAGAGTTTAAACATTCTAAGAAATTGCCAAAACAAACTTCAGTGTCTTATATTTGAAATGCTTTTTATAAAAAAAAAACTGAAACCACTGCTAAACAAACAATGTGACTCAATCCGTGCGAAGTTATCATTTTAGACTATTCTTTAAACTTAAAGAGCCGGTTATTGAATAACACGAAGTTTTAGCCAAACGGCGGTTTTACGTGAGCAGTGGGCCTTAAATATTCACCATAGCAGAATTGTTTTCATTAAATAAATATACTTCTACCGCTAGCTTTCGGCCCTCACCTAAAAGAATCAGCCTATTTCAAGACAGTTTAGACTGCGGTTTTGTCAAACAATGGCTAAACTTCGTTTAAATAACCGGCCCAAAGATTTCAATCGTTTGCAATTAATATACCATTTAACACATAGTTATGCTTGTTACGCTCTTACTCGTTTTAAAACTTTGATTTTTCTGCTAATTTTTTTATAGTTTTTAGTAATGTTTTACTTTGAATTTTCTTAAGTTTGACGAAAGAGAGGGAGAATGGCATCTTTGTTGTAATTGAAAAAGTGAAATGTGCAAAATACAGCTTCAATCTAACATATAATCAAGAAAGTGCCAAAACTCTCTCTTTGAAATACATTCACTTCCCTTTTGTGGTCGTTTTATGCGTTTGTTTGTTTGTTTGTTTGTTTGTTTGTTTTTTTGCAATCCTTAAAGATCATGCGCCCATGCCCAGTTTGTTTTTCCAGCTGGAGGAAACATCCCTGGGCATCCATCTATTTTTTAAAACTTGTTTACCCATTTCATACCACGTTAGCATATGGCTAAATGAATAAATCCAGTATTTACTGTAAAGAAGCCTGGGGCATGGTTTTTCGAAAAACCAGTGTGGTAAATTTATTAATTATTCTTGAAGTTTATCCAGAATTTTGTTAACAGTTACAGTTTTGTTATAATTTGGCGATTCATATCTTAAAGAGAACAACTTTTGTCTAGAAAATAGCAAAATTAGTAATTGTATCCAGGCAATAGCGGCATTAACCTCTTAGTATCATTAACAAACCATCCAAAGCCCCGGTGTATGACAAATTATTAACCCTGGTTAATCCACAAAATTACAATGTTGTGCGTCCAAGTTATGTTTTTTTTTGTTTCGATCTTACACTTTTACGCGTATGTGACAATGTTTTATCGTTTGGTCGGGGCTGTAATGAACCTGCTCCAAGCAAATTCTCGCTTTGAAAGATCTTGACACCGGCTCAACACAAAAAAGCAATACAAACCTAGATTATTTTACTTTTAACCAGTCAATAAAGTTGAAGTTCTCACTGTTTCGAGCAATATGAGTTTGCTTCACGTGAATCGCACATTGTACTCCTCCCCCCCCTACCCACTACCACCTATTCTCACCCCTCACCCCCTAAGTTACACCCCCGGAAAAGAGTGTGAAGAGTTGCCAGTAATCGGATCCTTGTGTTTGGCAAATATTCTGGGATCGCCACAAGGCAAACATTGCAACTCGCTGGAAAGATGTATGTGAAAGGTTGGTTCGACGTCCAAAACAACAATATTTTGGAGAGAGATTATTACTTTTTATCCAAAATGGATTTGGGTGATGTTGATACAAGGGAAGTGTAAGTTTTTGTTTCAACAACCGTGAAATATGATAAGTAAAGTCTACCGATTAACTTTTCTCCATGCCCAAGTTTTAGTGTGAAATTGATGTCGCGTAATGGTCTCGAAATTTAGAAATATAAGCTATAAAATCGCCACGAAATAACTCAACAAAACCTTTTTCTCCTGGCTTGGTAATATAAAAGAGTGCTACAACTGCTCCCGGTCTTGTTCACTGCCTTATTTAAACTGATGGACAAATCATAGCCCTTTACAATATCGATAATGTACTCTCCTGTATGATTATGGAGAAAGGCAAAGACTTGCTAATGGCATGTTGAGTCGGGTAAAAAAAATCAGTGGTTCGTCGCTTTGTTTATAGTCTTTATAAGAGAGACAAAAGAACTCCACCTACTGGGGTAGTGACAGAAAAGCTAGCAAATTCTTCAGCCGATCGCACTTCATTAGAATGCATATCTAAAAGATACAACTAAATTCATGAAAGGTACAAACAAACGCACGATTCAACACGAGCACTCCTGTAATATTTAATAATTCTGAAAAACAAAGATAACTACAATTTATATGATTCGCGACGACATTCCGATCATACTTAAGGCGTGGTGTTACAATATGAAAGTTACAAAGTGAAACAGAAACTAAAGTAAAACAGAAATCTACAATTAGAAATCGGAGACCGGGAAGAAAAATACAAATAATATAAAGCTATTGTACCTGAAGGGTAGATCCTCGAACATGGAATAAAGTTAAATCAAAATGACTTACGCGTGTCAAAATAGCGGAATAGCGAATGTAAATACGAAGTTATGTAGTGAAATGCGTGCGCGTTTGATTGGAAGTCTTTGCCTATTTCAATCATCGAAGAATCAGTGCAAATAAAATATAAATCAATTAAGATATCATTCAAAGCAATGAAGTTCAAAGAAAAAAAAAGTTTCACAAATATACCACAAGCTGAGGGCATGAACATTGTAGCCACTCAGAAGTGAAGTTTTAAGGACATAAACGGGCTCTCTTCCAGGAAAAACATTAGTACAACCGAGTCTTGCCCAATTATCCGACATATTCCAACAGTTCGTAACCTTAAAGAAATCCTTATGAGCAAGTTTCTTTTAATACAGCAACGGCCATTGCTAAGAGAAATCTTCAAGGAACCGATAATATAATACATAACGGGACGTTCACTCGAAGAAATAGTTGTGAGAGCAAAATTATAACATAAAATGGAGCCGTGTGTGTCTATCAACAAATACAGAGAAAACTAGACGTATTACGGAGTAATTGAGGTCAGTCAACCCCAGTTTACACAGGAGCATTAATTAAGCCGTTTATAAAACGAATAAATATATTTTCAATATCTCTCAGGTCGTGTGACTCGTACCTTGAGCTAAATTATGATCCCGACCATACCCTATCCCGCCTTCGAAACGGAGCATATCTCGGTCTCGCCTTCTTATTTTCATCCCGCATCTCACCTTTGAAATTTCTCATATCCCAAATCCTGCCTCGATTTTAAGCGCCATCCCACATACCGCCAAATCTATGTTGGGACCCTCCGGATTGCGATTTCTTCGTTGGATGGCGTTATCCGCCGCCCTTTGAACTACTGATCACACTTGTTGAGACACGATTCAACCTATCACTTGGTTTATAGTTGTTTCAGAGCGCTTTAGAATGATCAGTTCAAGAATGTTTCGAATTCATCTCGTCATTGGATGTTTTAATGTGCTGTGTTTTGGACAAGACATTCCTCAAGGTAACCATCCTCGGAAATCCAGGGGGAATAATCGAGGAGAGGAGAATAATACGAGTGTTTCAGTTCGACCCGAATGCCCGTCGTGTCACTAACTTTCGCGTCGAACCGAAACCACCAATTTATTTCTTTTCGCCTGATTATTTGCTCTTGATCAAACGATATCCGAACTGTATTACATACTAGCTCTAATCAAAATGTATCGACCTCTGTTCGCTTCGTTCTCTCTCAAAGTATTGGAGATTTGCAAATCTTTTACCCCATTAAAGGACCACAAAGACTACAACGTTTGAAGCAACAGAGGGAAAAGCTTGTAAATCACGAGCTTCTCCAAGTTGCTTTGATATGTCTTAGAACCACAGGCTTAAAGAAGAAAAGTTTTACCAATATAGCGAGTAGAGCTCTATGCCAACGGGTGTATAAATAGGTAAGAAAGTAAGACGAGTTCGAAAGTTCGTTTTTACCTCTTTCTTCTAATGAACAAGACTTTTAATACATATTACGCGATGGTGCGATTTCGTATAAAAGCTCTCCAATCGCGTAAGATGGTGAAGACACAATTCGGAGAAAATCGAACTGTAAAGTTTGTAGCAGTATGCAGGACGCGTGTCATATGAACTTCGTAATAGACCTCGCTCACCGTGGAGTCTCTGTGGCTCAGAGCGCGGAATCCGAAGATCTGCGGTTCAATTCCTCATGGGTACTCAGAATTTTTTTCCGTGTTAGACGTTTTGTTTCAGAAACGTCAAAAGTGCACTCACTTTCATCAACAAACGTCCAAATTTGGTCAAGTGAGAGCCAAACAAGGTCAAATTAAAGCCACCTAAAAATTTCTATACCTGTGGCCTAAAAAAGAAATGGCGAGGGACCTCATTTATTCGTGATTCAAAATTGTCCTCTTCATATGATCGTTTTCTTTGCCTCCTTCAATGTCAGAGAGTGAGTCACTGATAAAATGACGTCTGTAATGAATATATCAAATCTGGGAGGGTCAGGAAACAGGAAATCACCGATCGTCTGAGATTAAACGTCTATACAGAGAGTAATATTGTTATTGAAGTAGCGTGCCATATCAAAGGCGAACCAAACTCCAGCTGTGAGATGATCATCAGCATTTACGACCACTCTAAGGAATAAAAAAATTAGTCAAATTCTCAAGAAAAGAAAAGTCTTTTCTTATGTACGTAGAAAATCTCGGAATGGATAACTCGCTGAAATGGGTTCCCTTCAACATAGTAAGCGGTCAGATAACAAGTGATGCACTGTGGAAGTAAGGTGAGTAATTTTTATTGAGAATTTGACTCACTTTTTTATTCCTTAGAGCGTTCGTAAATATTCCCATACAAACTCTTATAATTTCGCAATGACTGTTATTTCGCAAGATGATCATCTCACAGTTGGAGCTTGGACCGCCTGTGGTTATATTTGTTCGTTTCAATTCTTATGGTGTCGTGATTAACGGCGTTGTTTACGTTTTTTTTTTTTGATCCCGAAATTAACTGAGAAGTAAACGACGGGTCGTAAATGTGTTTTAGAATGATAAAAACTAAATATTAACTTTTAATAAAAATTGACCAAAACTTTAACTGTTGGCCATAAAGGCCATCACTCCACTGATACCCTCTCAACTGGTCTCGTCACCCAACGCACTCTCGCATTTGGGCAGAGAGTGTGTTGCGTGATGAGACCAAATAAGGGCTGAGTACAAAGGAGACTAGACACGAATCACGTCTAGGAAAGAAGAAACGTTGACGCCTGGTTTGATTCACGGTTTTGCACAAATTACTCTCTTCTCCCGCTTGAGCTTGTTTACCGGACTACGGCGTAAGAAACCCCAGCCATATGGTTCAAACAATGGCAGAATTCTCGCACCACTCGCCCAGTTCCTTTTATTTCTGTTTAATTTTGTACTGGTGTTAAAGGTGGACAGCGATCATGAAAAGTCTTGAGGATTTTTTTTTTATCTATTAAAAATTAGTTATGTTAGTTTCTGTGTTGAACCTTTGACGTCACTTCCATTTAAAATCGCACTCCGCCTTCAGATCAACCTCAAAGGTACCTTATGGTGAACTTCATGTCCACTGTACTGTTTTGTTTTGTAAAACAACCATAAATTATATTAGTATGGTCAAAGTATGGTCAAACTGTTGTTACAAGGGTCAACCGGCTCGCGAACATCAGAGTCCGCATTGCTAAGTATCGCTGTCATTTGTGTTTCAATCACCGTTGTAAAGAAAACTACGTGCTTCCATCGAGTTTGAGATTTCGGTCTCCTTTATGGAGTGCTAAAGGATACAAGCTCATGGTCCGTACTGGTTTTTCTTTTCTTAAGCTACGAATAGATGAATGTCACAGTTCCATACTGCGTCTACGTGCGTTATTCTCTCGTTCACTCAGTGAACTCTCTGCTTTAGGCCAACTCTAGGACCTTAAGTCGCCGTAACTTTTGGCGACTTTGGGAGATTTAAGGCGACTTTAGCAAAGTTGGCTCAAAAAATATTGCGACTTTAGGCGATTTAAGGCGACTTAAGGCGACTTAAAGCGATTTTATCTGACTGAAGGGATAAAACCAAAGTTAGCAACAGTCTGTCCATAAACTTTAAAAATGTCTACAGAATCCCTTGCAATAAACACAACAGTCGTTTCGGTTACTTAGGTAAGCTCATAAGTCACCATAGTCTAAAATATCCAGATTTCAAATCAATTTAGCTAAAAATGTTCAGACAGAATTATCACAACAGCTTTTGTAAAATTGTACAGTCAAAGCTAGTAAATAAATAGCCAGGAAAACATCATGGGTTACATGCCCAACATCAAGCAAACCTATCATAAATATACACATAGTGCCATAAATTTTTAATTTAAGAAAAGAGACAACTTTGATAAAACTATCCATAAATTTTCCACATTATTAATTAAAAATAACATGATTATTTACGTGTATTTATTATTTCACAAAGCTCCACAAATTATAAAAATTGTTATCTTGGTAAACTTGTCTCCCATATTTTTGGCACTTGCACTGTTAATTTTTGGCATGAAAGTTTGGCAAGTCGCCTGCCTTTCCAACAGCATCCAAAATTGCACGGGTCCTTTTCAGTGACCCAACTAATTTGTTGTTCTCCTGCCTTAGTTAGACAAAACACCCTAATACCATACTGAGAACCAAATGCTAAGGTCCTTCGTAAAACTACTTCCTTTCCAGTCTCTCCAAGTACTTTTCTAGCTGCAGAAAACTATGATTGGAGTGGAGTGGATAGGGTCAATTGGGAAGGGTGGAACCCTTATGACGTTGCGTAACTAATAGCAACCTAAGGAAACTTAAGGCGACTTAAGGTGACTTTAGGCGACTTTGGGCGACTTTAGGTGACTTAAGGCGACTTAAGGTCTCAGAGTAGGCCTTGCTTTGATTAACAACTCCGAAACTTCCTGGGTCGAGGAGTTCTACAGTTCGAAAGAACTGCAGACGTTTACCAAACAGAGAGAGAAACACGACAGAAAACTCCGTCACTTGCTCAGTAAGAGGTCTCCTGTTAATTCAGGCTCATCTCTGAAAGATAAATGGGTCATGTACCTTTCCTCCAAGGAGTTATCCGCGCTGGAACGGAGTGGTTTAGAGAAAGGTCTGAAGTTTGCTATTGCTCCTCGCAAAATACCGACTGCCGAAATTGTCGCCGCTGTTGAGGAGAGTATCTCTCAACTCAACGACGATCGTAGGCATTTGGTAAGAGCAGAAGTAAGTAGCATACTTAGGCGTGCTAAACTTCCTCCCAAAAACATTCATAGGGATGTTTTCAATGCGCTTATAGCTCTCAAAAAGGATCCGGACAGGCTCGTATTATCTGCTGACAAGGGTAATTGTGTTGTGGTTATGGACAAACAGCACTATCATTACAAAGCTTTGTCTCGGCTTAATGACAAGAGTATGTATGCTGTCTTAAACTCTGATCCTACCAGTAAAACTCAAAGAAAGTTAAACAAAATGTTGCTTGATTTGAAAAAAGCTGTTAAAATTAGTGACTCTACGTACAAAATGTTATACAGTAGTGACGGCTTATGTCCACGTTTTTATGGCTTACCTAAAATTCATAAACCGGGAATTCCTTTGAGACCCATTGTCTCTTTTGTTAATTCTCCGACTTATGCAATTTCTGGTTATCTTGCGAGAATTTTGTCGCCTGTTGTTGGGAATACTGATTACACTGTCAAAAATTCCTCCGAATTTGCGGATTTCATAAGAGATAAAACTCTTGACGCTTGTGAAGAATTAGTATCTTTCGACGTTGTTTCGTTCTTCACTAAAATCCCAGTTGATGTTGCCGCTAAGGTTGCGGAGGAGAGACTCCGAGAAGACGCTTCCCTGGGACAAAGAACTTTTTTGCCTGTGGAGGATATTATTTATCTGCTGTCTTTTTGCCTCAAAACCACGCAATTTACATAAAACGGCACCTACTATCAACAAGTTTTTGGTACAGCAATGGGTTCGCCCGTTTCTGCTGTTATTGCTAACATGGTAATGGAAGACGTGGAACAAAGGGCCTTAGCCACTTCACCGGTTAAACCCTTTTTCTGGAAACGAAATGTCGATGATGTTATTTCTGCGGTATCCGGAAATGAAGCGGAGCGCCTCTTGTCGCATTTGAATTCAGTAGAGCCGTCGATCCAATTCACCCTTGAGCGTGAAAAGGATAGACATTTTCCCTTTCTTGATTTAAATGTGTCCAGAGGGGTTCAGGGTAATTTAGAGACAAGCGTCTACCGTAAACTTACCCACAAATACCTCGCCGACAAATACCTCGCCTTCGATTCTCACCACCCTATTTGCCATAAAAAGTCTGTAGCCAAAACTTTACTTAGGAGGGCTGACTGTCTACCATCTTCACTCGATTCGAAGGCTGAGGAGAGGAAATATGTTTCCAATGTCCTAAAGGCAAATGGCTATACAAAAACTTTTCTCCGTAACCGCCAAAAACCAGTTACAAATAGTAACGCTCTTGATGAAAGGGAACCAGCGACTGGTTTTGCTGTTATTCTTTACATACAGGGTGTTACGGAACCCATCAAGAGAATTTTGAATAGCCACAACGTTAAAGTTGCTCAAAAACCTTTTCAGACTTTGGGGCATATTTTCGCCAAACCTAAGGATCCTGTCACGAAAGGACAACGAACCGACGCCATTTATTCTATTCCTTGCAATGACTGTGACAACGAATACATCGGACAGACCAAACGTCAGTTTGGTACACGGTTAAAAGAGCACCAAAAAGCGGTTTTCCTTTGCAAAAAGGGAAATTTAGCTTTATCGGAGCATACATGCCTAACTAACCATACAATTGGGTGGGATAATTCTAAAATTATCACCGCTAATCGGCGTTACCACCAGCGCCTTTGTTTGGAGGCTTGGCATATTAACTACGCCCACGCTCCTTTAAATCGTGACGATGGCGGTTTGCTTCCTGACGCCTATTTACACCTCGTCAGAAAAAAGGCCGCTAATTAGTGATCATATAAAAGGACCACTTGTTGCAGCGTTTCGATCACCCCTGATGAAGGCACTAGACAGGAGTGTCGAAACGTTGGGTCTATGAATTGTAACTTCTTCGGTTACATTCATTAAATCTGCAAACCAGAGTAGCATCAAACTATGTCTAACCATAAATTAGTCACAACTACACAAACTGTTTGTATTCACTTTCCGGGTGCTTCGCTCTTTCTTTACCAATCACGCTGTTTTAAGTCTATCCGAAAAATTCTTTCCCTTCTTAAAATGGCTTACGAGTTCATGTAAATGTATCGCGCGACGTGCTTCAATTTAGCTGCGAAATATCCAAAACAAAAAAATCAAACTAGCGCCGAAATATACCATTCAGCCTTCTCCCACAAAAACAACACTCCCGGTGCTCTCTTGTAATTCATTAAGCCATAATATTATTAATCCAAAACAACAAAAACGTTAAAAAAGGAAGTTCATATAAAAGGTACTCTCTCCATGTATCGGACTCCTCCCCTATTGTATTTTGGTAACTCTTCTGTCTTTGATTTTACTTCTTTTTTAAAGATTGTTTTTCACCTTTGGGAATGGAAGATGGAGGTATCAGAGATGAAGATATTCGTGCTACGTCTTCCCTGCCATCAGCTTTTGCTAATTATGGTAGACTGAATCATACTGATGGCTTCGGGGGGTGGTGCCCTGATCAGCGGCCGTATGCAAATGATACAGGTCCTACCTATAGGGAGTTTATTCAGGTCCACTTTTCCAGCCCCTTTCGAATTAAAGGCATAATAACACAGTCCCGCTCTGGAGGTGTGGAAAGGATTTGGAAGTTCTTGGTTTCTTACAGACAAGAAAAAAATAAACATTTTGGTTGGTATTATGGAGGATCACATCGGCCTAGGGTAAGTCATTTCAAGGACACTTATGATGATGTTTTTCACGAGCAGCTTTAGCTCGCTAATCAATAACGATTTTTCTATCCATCGACTCTTTTCAAGAACGATACTATTTCGCAACGGCCAAATTGCAGAGATTGCACGGAAATTAACCTCCAAGATGGAGTTCCTTCAGTCTTAAATTGGAGTAGATTTCCGAAGGAATACTATTGCCACGGATGTTAAACTGTTTGCTCATCGGCGATTTTGCTAATCATTTTCAGGAGTCAGTTATTTTTCCATGTGTTCGACATTTTACATGGAGCGTGAGGGCGACTAGATTATTTTCCTATCAGCTGACTCGAATTGTTGGTCTCGTGAGACAATCAATGTCAGATTCAATCTCAGGCTTTCCTCCTCTGTTATTTGCAAGTAGCGTGGTAATATTAAAGTCCTGACGAGTGTATTTTTTAAAATTTTTTTTTTTTTTCTTTTTTTCTTTTTGTTGTTTATTTGCTTTTTGCATATTAAAGACATACGGTGCCGTTTTACTTTGTCCTAGCGAGTAGGTTAACCATTTTATATTTTTATATTTCATACAGCAAGGTTGCCAGGAACAGATTTTGTTCAAGGAAAAAAATACTAGCAAATTTTAAATCAAATTGATCGTATCGCTTTTATTATCCTTAAACTAACTCTGCCACGTGCGGCACAAAAACGTTCTGACCAACAGCAATTTAGAGGTTGAAACTCTCGTTTAAACCTGTGTGCAAACAAATTTCGATTTTAGGGGAGCGCTTCAAAACAAACTGTTGTGCGGTGGGGACAATGCCAGATCTTTGATTTCATTACGTAGACTGCGGTTTTCACTAGGAATTTTTAGTCCTGAGAGAAGCCATAACAGCGCAAATTACGTTACATAAATTCAACTATGTTTGATATCGTCAGTCAACTTCTGAAACGTCACTCGCCACTCACGCCACCCTGTCAGGTTCAAGAATGATTGGCAAATCATTCACCATTCTCAAACAAGCTCGTTTGTTGAAATTGTCGAGTCAGTAAATGCCTATGGTGTTTATATGATAAGCAAAATAATATTGGGTTGCTTGTAAAGTAGATGATATTTCTCTTCTCGTATTCTACTCGATATCTCACGAGTAAGCCTAACTTACTTGTCAGATATTTGGTTGAAAACTTGAGGGGAAATTCCATATCAACGCACGCCCATTTATTTTCAAGGACTTGATAATGTGAATTGGCCTCCGTAACGAGATTCTAAGGCTGACGTTTCCAGCGTTGGCCCTTTTTTAAAGCAAACTTTCGTAACAACAGCAAAACGCTTTACTGCCTGCCATAAAAAGCATGTAAAAACGACTTTTATCGAATCGGGTGTAAGATTTCAGAATTCGGAATTATAATCTGGGGAACATCACCGGATATCTCCCGATATAACTGAGATCTCGTAAGTCTCGAGATGTATATAGAACAATTGTGAGCAAGCTAAAATGTTTCTTTAGGTCTGACAACGTCGACGGAAATGTAAAAAATTCGTGTTTCCGGAACGTTACCATGCGATAACATGAAGTTACACTAGCGGAAACATTTGTTTCCTTCAACTAAAACCTGACGGAAACATGTAAAAAATGCATGGCACAGTTCCGCTTTGCATAAACATCAACGGTTTCACATATTTCTTCCACGTTTCCGTTTACGGATTCTTGACATTTCCTCCTGTGAATGTTTCATGGCTTATAGTTGGGGATTTGCTAACATTATGCACTGTTGTTGCACATGTCTTAGGTCTTTGAAGGAAACAGCCTCTCCGAGTTAAAACCTCCAGTTGTTACTGACTCAATAAGAATTGTACCAGAGATATTTCCTCTCAGACAGGTGTGCCTCAGGTTTGAGCTTTTTGGCTGTCAACTAGAAAGCGGTAAGCTTTTAACTTCCACCTAATAAAAATAATAGTATAAATAATGTATACAGCGTTGTTTCTACAGAATATCCAACAGCACTTTACAAGACTAGAAATTGAATGATAAGATTAGTAAGTTACATGATGTTATATCTTCTGTAGAAGAAAGGTCTTTACCAAATATCAATTTCTTGAGGCGATCCACCTGATATTCAGTTGATATTCTCTTGCATTAAGGTGATTCCTCATAAAAAAAGTTATAAAACGACTTTTTAAAAACTTTCATGAAACGTTCCTCACCAATGTCGGTTTCGAAAACTACTGTGGAAAAGATCAGGTCACTGTGTCTGCTTAAGATCGAGGTATGATAGGCAATCTTGCCCTATTTATTCATGTCCATATAATTATATTATTCACCAGCCGGGAGGTCCGTATTTGGAAAAATGTGAAGACTTAGTCTTAGTCTTAGCTGTGGTCAGCTCTCTCTCTCTCTTGATATATACATTGTTCTGAAAACAGAGGGAGAAAAATGGAACAAAATATCACGAATTTATCACAAAATATAATTTCCTGAATAGTTACTGTCGTTGTTAAATGAAAGCCAAACATGACATTTCTATTTATTACTCAGCGATTGTCACTTACGAGATATTCCAAGGTAACTCCCTGGACGGGAGATACAACTTCACTGATTCAAATTATGATGGTTTGACTAAAGGCCGCCGTCTAGTCTCTGGATTGGGAATGCTTACCGATGGACGATTGGCTAATGAAAAACTTACAGTAAATAACGGATTGGGTTGGATTGGCTGGAACATGAAAGAGACTCCTAAACCTTTCATAATATTTGATTTTTTGAACAAAAGAATCTTCAATTCAGCTACTTTCCATTGTAACGTCAAAGACCAGATACACATCAAGTTGTTTTCCAGAGTTGAAATAAGGTTTAGTAAGACAATGCAGAATGGTTCTTCACCTGATCTCATGCAAGAACCCAAGGTAATTTCCGTTCCATCATCATCATCGATAAACCACAATGTTACAATTGACCTGTGCCGCCGTGTAGGGAAGTCTGTAAGGTTCAACTTTACCTACAGAGGACAATGGATATTAATCAGCGAAGTTATCTTCAACTCAGGTAAGTTAAAAGATCTCCAAAACAAAATAATTATTCCTGGTTCTATGTCATCTCACCAACCCTTACAGGTTTTTTCCCCCCTAAATTTTCGAGGTGAGCCTTTGCAGCTTTGTTATCTGTTCCTTTCACCATCTAGTCGAGACCACTTTCAGAAAAACGGTTTCTTCGGTAATGTGGTTAGACACCACAATCAGCAAAAGTAAATCAACATTTAATAATTTATGTTCATGATTTTTTCTTTTTCATTTTATTTAATTATTAGTTTTTTGATGTGGAAATGCAATATATAGTATGTGAAATTAGTTAATAGTCAAGTTCCATTGTATTGGCTGGAAAGAATTTAATTCAGTTTTCAATTCGTATACTTTGGCTAAATAATTACCTCATTATAGTTAAAATGATTCTTTAAGGGGTGTCTAATTAAGGTAACATGGCAGTCCTATCATACTATACTACATATGATTAATATGTGATTGGCTCGGTAAATATATATTAGACTTTCACATTGGTCAATCTTTATTTCATTGAGATGTATTTAGTCAAATTAAAGTCATGCCTATCTTTTATTGTTACAGAGCCACTGGAAGGAAGGTCTCCTCCAGCAGTTTATTGTGTTCCAAGTACTACACACCCTCGATACACAAGTAGTACCTCGGAATACAACGCAAGTACTATTAGTAGTACCACATCAGCTGAAAGTGAGACATACCAAAATGATTTTATTGTTTACCTTCATAATTATCGTGCTAATTCTGTTGTATCGATCTCCAGTGTCGGTGTTTCAACTTCCTACAAACCTTTCCAAAAGCTGTATACGACATACAAATTATGAAAAAAAAACTCATATCTATCCGACTTTTTCCAGATAGAAAAACAACCAGCTTATTTGAAACTGTATGGCACGTAGTGCTTTATCAGAAAAGAATCAAACAATAAATCAACACATCGGTCAGTTCATCCGGCGTGTTAACAAATAACCAGTCCGTTATCTAGTTACACGGTCTTTCCGTTAGTCAGTTAGTCACTCTGTCTGTCGGTCGGTCGGTCGGTCGGTCGGTCGGTCAAACAGTCAGTCGGGGTGTGCAGCCAACTAACCTGCTATCATCTACTACGGAGCAACTACTACTGTTGCAGAAAAGAAGCATGAAAAATTATTTTCTGTACTTGGTAAAATTGCGGCTCATCTGCGAGGAACATTGTTTTATTTGATTTTCATCCGCAGGTCAAATGAGATTTTTTTCAGTTGGATGAGGAAAAGATTTTAAGTAATTGAACAGATTATAAAAAAAGTAACGATCTGTTTTCAATCAGTTGTAAAATGTTGGTGCAGCCACATAGAGCAAGTCATTGTTTGTGTAGCGAGCTCTATTAATGAGTCATTTTTTTTAGCCACCGTTGCTCCATCGGCCGAGGGACCTGATTGGGTGATGTTGATCTCATCTGTGACAGCGCTCTTCGTCATTTTAGTAATCCTCGGTATTGCTTGGTCATTCCGACGGAAGAGACGCCAGAAAAAAGGTAATACATACATCATAATCTGCAAATTCTTTTTCAAAATAAATGGATCGCAAGAGAAAAATTCCATTCAATTCGGATGTTTAATTTATTTCAGAATACAACTTTGTAGTCAAAATTACCTTGAAGATATAAAATGATCTCTAACTTGCAAGGGTACTTTCAATCAAGTGTCTAAACTAATCCAGGATTGTGTCGTTTTGTTTTACTTCGCTATAATCATTATTCAAACGCAAAATGGGCCCTGCACAAATCAATCCAATGAATTTGGGCAGTTTACCGATGTCCCTTTCTTCTGGTGAGCCATTGTGATTGCTGTTGCTTTGCTTTCAAGACTCTCCGATGAACTGCGCTTCTTTGAAAGGAAGCTATGCTTTTGAATCTACATGACCACATTATCTCCCTCATTAATAATGGTTATACGAACGAGTAGAGTCCAGTTCGGTCGGTAATCATACGAGTGATTCACAAAATCAAAACTATGACGAAATTTGAGAAAGAAACTAGACATAAGTTATACGTTTTCATAAAAAAAAACAGCAGTTAACTGGGCGAAATGCGAGGCAACGGCGCGCGCACATGAAGCATTCTGTCCACTTACACACAGACATGATGTGTTAACTGACCCTTTAACTGTCCTATAACACTGTCTAATTACAAGTATGACACGTATACTGTCCTATTAGTGCTCAATTCGGGCTGGTGATAGCCAATTACGTTCGAGAATTTTGTTATAGTTTTCATAAAGTATAGAATAAATTAACTATGGAATGGGGTGCATGTTGCAATTCCTCAAAAAACACTTCATTTTCGCAATTTGTGGTGACTATTCTTTTTATTAATATTGAAATATTAATTTTTGTTTAAAAAATGATGTTATTCTTGTTTCTTTCGATCTTTCTCTTAGATGAGAGACCTAGAGTTGTGGAAAGGTATGACAATTTTTTGTATTGCTAATAGCATTGTCAGTAATTGCCGACAAACTAGCACTCTGAACAAAGCCATGTAAGGATGGACTTGCTACCCAAATGCACTGTTCTTGTCGAAAAAGAAAAGTTACCTCAGAAACCAGTCGTCAAGGGTCAAGTCAAAAGATTTTGGTTGTGTCGCTAGAAAATTTACCTGATCCTCCAATAACACGCCGTAATATTCCTATAATCCACCAGGCAATAAATAATGACTGTTTCCTAAATATCATAAGCAGTTCATGAATTAAATCAGACTTGTGAATGATAATTTAGGTATTGATCTTCGCACTGAAATTTTTAGTCGTTATTTACCCTTTAAGCGACCAGTCTGAAGAGAGTTTAACATTGGTTCCTGTGGGTGCTACCCCTCAGTTGGAACTTTCTGAAAGCAATAACGATCGTAACCAAGATACCGAAGAATCTCCCCGAGATGAATATGAAGAAATTGAGCTGTCTCCACCTGTGATGATGGTATGTTTATGTTTTCTAATAATCATAATAGCGAAGATTTCACTGATTTCGAGTAATTAACAGTTATTCATCACCGAGGCGGAAGCAAAGATCCAAAAACTTTATATAATCACTGAATACAAGAGATTATAATATCTTGTTTTAATGCATAATTATACTTAAAGATCTAAGTTAGTGTATGGTTGATATCGTGTCGATGGAACCTTGGTGAGGTGTCGGTGGAGTGTGGGTGACGGGTGGTGAAGGGTGATGATATGTCCGTGGATTGTTGTTGGCGTGACTGTGGAGTGTTGAGTCGGGGGAGCGTTCATGGCTTGTTAGCCATTATTGTTTATCTTTCACACATCCTTTTAACCAGGTAGATACTGCAGTATTTGTTGAACTCCTCAGCATTTTCATGAAAGAGTTAAGGCTTAGAATCTGGACCCAGGACTTATCAAAGTTTCATACGGCGTTGCCGTATGAAACTTTAATTAGTTCCCCACGGGGTCTTTGACCTCTTTTAAGAGAAGTGATAAGGTTATTACCCTCGTTCACAAATCGGTTAATAAATATTGTATTGACTAAACACATTTTGTTTTTGTCTTTCCCGTAGGTGCCTAGCGACAGTGCCCAGACTCCTGTATATGCGCAAGCGTCAAGCGCTTGTTCCTACACCTACGCACACTCGTACACGCCAGTAGAGAAAAATAATGGGAAAGAACACGAGTACGTCAATCAAATAAAGACTTCGGACTACGCAAATACGTACATGCCTCTCACCAATCTTAAGAGGACAGCCGAAAATTCTTGTGCATATGCATCACTTCTGCCGTCTAAAGAGGAAAAGGACGACAACCTTTAGGGCAACGGTGAATACACTATTCCATTTTTATAAGAACCTTTTTCATCAGGAAGTCCAGGCTGAGACTAAACAAGGTTTCAAGAACATACTAAGAACACACCCAGGCTGAGAGTCAGTAAAGAACATCTTTATTTTGCTCATTTTCTTTTCTTTGGCTGGAATATGCAGATGTGTACATGCCTCTCAGCGATGCCGGCAATACTAACATGTCAGCTGACAATTCACGCGCGTATGCATTGCTTTTGAAGTCTGAAAAAGATGACAATAGCAGTGAATACGTTAATCAACTACAGGCTTTGAGGCCGAGTTTCCAGAGACACGATGAAATTTAATCAGAGTTGGTGTAACTTTTTTCGTTTTACAGCCTCTCTGATAGTCTAGTTTTTTCTTTCTGTGATTTTCTTTTGATCAGGGTGATACCGTAAGTTTTGTAGAGAAATCCATAAATAATACTTATCGCCTTTCGGACAGCCTATCGACATCGTAGATTGCACTAGTCTCGAGCGTTAAAAATAGCAGTTCCTGTGGGGTAATCTAGTGTTCCACCTAGTTTCTCCTTAGGCTTTTTGCGGCTTCTCCTAGAAACGAGCGTAAAAGAACGGGTAACTGGTGACCCAGTGATTTTAGCCGGGAGACGTCTTAGATTTATTGTCACTATTTCTTTTTAGTCAGTCTTTATGCGCCTTTTGTCAATTTTTTTTCGGAAAATGAATCATTTTCATGAGTTGTAGCTTAACAATAACTTTTCCTTTACGATTGATTGAGAGGAATTATTGTGTGAAACTTAAGTTTATTTCCTTTGTTTGGCAATCGAAACGAATCGCAAAAATGATTTTCTATCTGAAGTAGCCAACATTCCAGCAAACAGTGAATAATTTTTTTACCAATCAGAATACATCCCCGAATTGAAATGCCTGGCCCTCTGTTTAATATTCAAGGAACAAAAAAGTATGACACATTGCAAAGAGATTAAAGACTACTCACTTATATTCAGATTTATGGCTGCTTTAGCACCACTTTCAAGGGAATTCGGAGCGATCAAGTGATGCCTGATGTTCCCAGTCTTCTGCTCCCTAGGAATGGAGCTCCAGTGTAGTCACTTTCTGAAGATGATCACAAAAAATTCATATCTAAACTTTAGAGCCTACATTATTAATGAGTCTAGTGCCTTATTGTAGTCACCGATAATGTTCTGAGCTTCAGCAAGGCAGTGTTGCGTGAGGTCCAGGGCTTGATGCGACTGAATCACTTACAATGTATAACAAATAAATGATCATTTTGAACCAGTTTGAAGGTGCTTCCATGCAATTTCATAAGGTAACTATGAAGAACCAACAGTAAAAACCTGGTTTCATAACTGCGCGGTTAAAGTCCTGAGTTGAATCTAGAGACGCCAAAAGTTAATCACACCCCGTACTTAGATGTCGCGGTAAAGACCGAGTTAAAATGTTTCAAGCACATAGCATCAATTTCGAGATCTGGTAATAAAATCTAGGCTTGGTCATGTAGAATATTCTAAATTACCCGAAAAGAAAATATGTTGGCCATTGTATGATCCAAATTAAAATAACCTTGCACCTCTTGGGACCTGCACTAAAAGAAAACATCGAACAAGTCCAAAGAACCGAGAACCGTACTCTTTGAGAAACGTTGCGTGACATCTCAAAGAACGACTGCGTAGAACGCTGACTGACGCACAGTAGGAGAGGTTCACAGTCCTCGGTTTCAGTGACGCAGAATTTCTTAAGTTGCCGCTCGCTATTTTACTAGCACATAGCTGGAGACCTTGCTTCCTTGTGCCAAGTAGCTTGGAAACCGAATTATGAGTCACCAACTTTCAGTGTCTTCCCCACATCCCTCCCCTTTATCAACAAGGCCGCGCGCATATCGAGTAAAACTTATGTTGGCACCAATGACTCTCGACGTGTCCTTTTGCCTGTTCTCTGCTACCATTCTACTTACAGAAAAATTACTTCTATTCCCCTCTCTTCATCACTGTGCATGGCTGGGACTACTTATCGGTTCTTACTTGCCCCTTATAACTCTGGTAGACTCTAATTAAATCTGATCGGTTGACTACGAGCTCCATAGCACACGCTTTTATATAACGTCAGGCATGACCGAAGATGCTGGCCAACTGACCTTAAAAGATTAAAACTTGCTGTCAAAACAATATCCCAAATACTTTCACAAGAATGTAAAAAACTGATATTAACAGTCACCTAATCATTCCGATCAAACAATCACTTTTTGACTTTCATGGCCAAAAAAATAACTTTCATGTGGGTCCAAGGCAAGGTCCGTGGACAAACTATGCACGTCCACTGAAGGAAGTTAATCGAGACAGTCACAATTTGGAAACTCGTCGCAATAGCTTAGCTCTAAACAACTTTGAACTTTGAATTCAAATCTTAAATAATTGCCTAAGATAGTCAAATGACTGAAATCATAATCCACGTACTGAATAATGTGCTACACTTATATTTTTTAGAAAAACGCGTATGTCGTTGTTTTGTTGCTCAATCGATGCCTTTAACAAAACATTCAGTGCCGCCTAACAATCTTTCTACAAAAGGGCATAAATAAAACTATACAAGCATCCTTTTAAATTTTCTAATATTGGATAAAAAGTTGTCGAGCTTTTTAGCGATGCAGTCAGCTCAGCTTTTAAATTCAAAGGCCTGCCTCACTCCACTCCCAAACAACGCAACTCATCATGAACTGACGAAATACTGCAATCATTCAAAGATGGACTATCAAGAGAAGGCAAAATTTCAGGTCAATAATCATCAGGATATTTTTGGGAGTCAAATGAATTTGAAATGCAACTTAACTTGTCCACTCTGGAAAACGAACAAATTATTTTCCGTCCACACTTCAATCACTAGTTACAGAAACGTTTGAATGTGCCCTTGAGCATGCTTGCAGTCAGGCTTGATAATCAACGGCGGGCTGGCAAGCATGCTCACCTTCCTCCGATCGAAGAGCAGACGCGCGAAAACAGCAAAAAATCTAGCCTAGCGTTTAAAGAAGACCCAATTAGTTCGTCATGGAATTCAAGAAGCTTTGACGTTTAGTTTTACGCAAAGATCTGTTTTCATTTTTCTTTTGGCCGTTCAGTCTAAAACACCAGGGTGGCGTTTTCAAATCGGGCAGCACTTTTGAAAAGCTCTGTTTCCAGTGCACACAGCCGGATTTGTGTGGGTGGTAGGTAAAATACTAGAAACTGATGCTTTTGTTGCGCCAATTCACCTTCATATAATTTTTTTTGGGCTTATACTATTTTGCGAAACGAAACGAAACGAAACGAAACGAAACGAAACGAAATCAGGTGAGATAGAACAAAACTAAAGGAATAATGCAGATATATTTTCTAACAAGGTAAAGAAAACTTTCACAAGGAATTTGGAGTAATCGTTCATTAACAAGAAGGATTTTTATTCATTTCGCAAAATAGTAATTTTAGGAGCGTTACTATTTTGCGAAATGGAATTTTTCACGCTGCGGTGACAACGTGACCTCTTCCATGTCACAAAAAATACATTTAAACATTACAAATTAGTATATCACCGAAGATTTTGGCCTCCTCTTATTTCTTAAACCGTATTAAAATGTATTTCGCAAAATAGTAATTTTAGGAGAGTTACTATTTTGCGAAACGGACAATTTTTACCCAGCGGTGACCAACGTAACCTCTTTTATGTCATAAAAATACATTTAAACATTAAAAATTAGTATATCAACGAAGATATTGGCCTCCTCTTATTTCTAAAGCCGTATTAAAATGTATTTCGCAAAATAGTAATTTTAGGAGAGTTACTATTTTGCGAAATGGACTATTTTCACCCTGCGGTGACAACGTGACCTCTTTCACGTCACGAAAATACATTTAAACATTACAAATTAGTATATACCGAACATTTTGGCCTCCTCTCATTTCTTAAACCGTATTAAAATATATTTCGCAAAATAGTAATTTTAGGAGAGTTGCTATTTTGCGTGACCTCTTTCATGTCACGAAAATACATTTAAACATTACATTATGGTATATTCTCAAAGATCTTGGTCACCTCCTCTTTAATGTAGTAATTTCTAAACTAATTGAATGTAGTAATTCCGAAAAATGTTTATTTTGCGAAATGGATTATTTACACTCGGCGGGCGGGAACTCGAGAATAAGGGCGAAGGGATTGTTGCAGATTCCTTGAACTTCACAATGTTTGGATGTTTCAACTCTTGAATGATTCTTGCTTCCTTTACAAACGTTTTCTTATCCAATATGTCATCACCGAGCAATTTCTTAACGACGACATTCTCCGCAGCGGCCGATTTCCCACCCGCATCAGGAACAGTCTGCCAGTTAGCGGGGCTGTCCTGGTGTCCTGGTGTACCGGTACACGGGGGAATTCCTATTGTTTTCATATCCATACATGGAGTTGTGACGCATTCGTTAATGTTTCGTTCCTTTGTGTACCGGTACACGAGGACACAACCCAGTTAGCAGTGAACACAGCACCATTAGCGCCCTTACCAATGATTTCTTTGTTTGTCAAACACTTGAAATCATGAACTGGAAGACGTGAACAGTCGATGGTCATGGGCTTAAGAACAGGAAATTTAAAAGCCATAATCTTGCCTGATTTAGCAGCACACAAAGCGAGCAGAAAGCAAACTTCTTGCAGCACGTGGAACTTGCGCAAATGCGAAACACGATCTCTTGCTCGTAAGGAAGAGGTGTGCGACGGGGGTGTAATCAGAAGCGCGTAACTTTTCCATGTATATTATTTTTATTAAAAATTTTGAAGCAAAGTAACTGTATTACTTGCGATTATAAAACTGCTGGACGACTATTTCGGCATGGGTATGCTTCTGTTCTCTATACGAGACGGAGAGTCTAAACATGTTTAGCCGCCACTGGAAAACTGTCATGTTGGTTTTGCACCGAAACAGTGCACACCCTTCAAAACGCACGAAATGGAGTCTTTCAAATCTCTCAGGAGAACATGCCAACTTCCCCCTAGAATAGCTCCGTCGCTAGTAAAAACAGCTTTTACCTCTTACTTTCCGCTCCCTCCCATGTCATTAATTGGACACAACCTCGGTTTGGGCCTTCAGCGGGGCTCTCTTGACTTGGTTTCGGCGTCACGCAATACGGTACTACACAGTTGTCGATTTTGATTAAATGAACCTGTTAGCCCAAACCTCTTGTTGCATGTTTATTGAGATGGAGTTATTAATTGGCTCTTACTTAATCATTTGAAGCTGAGGAAAGGAAAACACCGCCTTGTTGCTTGGCAGTGAAGAAGTACAGACCACAGCTAATTAAAACACT